CTAAATCTCCAACCCCAAGATCCACTTTTTAACTCATTTCAAGTAGGCTGTGCAGTTAACTTGGTAATTGTTATCACATGGGTAACAAAAAGTTATGATGTTCATAACAAAGTTATGAAATGGGTAACATCAAGTTATATATAGTTGGGCAAGGTCATGCAAGCCTTTGAACCCCAACACACAGGAGGCAGGGGCAAGGGGAACTCTGAATTCAATGGCAGCCTGGTCTGCATAGTAAGTCTAGGACAGCTGGCAATACACAGAGAGACCCTGTCTTAAAATAAAGTCGTCTTTCCCGAGAAATAGCTTTCATGGCACCAGAAGCATCATATAAACTTCCAGAGGAGGGAGCCAAACAACAGTCCTAACCACCAGCTATGATGCCTATGAACCACATCAATGATCATCCTGGCACAACTGCCCTAAGGGTGCAGCAGTGGCAAGCATACCTTCGTGGTAAGAAACAGCTCTCTAGTTGGACTTAAGACCCTTTTAACAAAAGGGAAACCATGACTGGTGCTGGTGAAGTGGTGGATCTTGGAGGAGACCCTGCAGCCACCACTTTACTAAACCAGCATAATCCCTAAAAAGAATCTAAATATTTTTCCTTGTGCCCACAAATAGGCATAGTCTTCACCCCTCATCAGGAAACTTCTCTTTGCCACAGACAGAGGCCACTCCAAAAAAAAAAAAAAAAAAAAAAAAAAAAAAAAAAAAACTCACAACTAATCAAATGCAGAGTTGTGGAGGCCTCTCACTGGATTACATCTACAAAACACTCCTGTAACTAAGGCTAAAGGAATATTTTTGAAGAGGGGGTAGAAAGATTGTAAGACCCAGAAGATCAAGGAGTTTGCTGTGGAGTTGTGTTTCCTAGTAAGACCAGAATCAACACCCATAAAATCTTTCCAACATGACTGCCCAACGGGAACTGATCAAGGACAACAACAATGGACATGCCAAAGTGGATGGGGGAAAGCCCACAAGGCCTCAACCACACACAGGGAACTACAGGCAACTGGGGAATGCTGGGAGCAGGAGACATGGTGTCCCTCAGAGAAGGGCAAACCAACTGATTATCTAATACCAAACGGTAAGCATTGAAAACGTACATGGAAGTAACATTGTATGGAGAGAGTAGGTTATATTGAGAAATATATATGTATCTACATGTATATATCAGTGTGCAATAACAATGAAAAAAGAGGCCATGATTTTGAAAGAGATCAGAGAGGGGTATATGGGAGGATCTGTGGGAGGAAATCAAAAGGTAAAATAATATAATTATATAATAATCTCAAAACTAAAACAGTAAAAACAAAAGCAAAAATAAAACAAAGGAAAAATAACAAACCCAAACTAAAGAAAAAGGTTTTATACCTATCAGAAAATACAGAGTAGGGCTCCTTTAAGCTCCCATGTCACCTTAGTTAGAATGGCCAAATCAGGAATAGAAATGATAACTAACATAGGCATAAATGTGGGGAAAGGAGGTCATACACTGGTCTGGGATTGAGAAGTAGAAGGTGAACTTTTAAAATCAGTCTAGATGATCTCAAAAAAGAAAAAGAAAAAGAAAAAATGAAAGTAAGAAAACTACTGTGACCCCAATTACAGAACAGATGTGTGACACTCTTCCTGTGGAAACAATGACGAACATCTACTTATCACAGATAAGGAACCAATGACAAACCAAAATTGGGAAACCAATGGAGTCCAACGTGATAAACAGTGAGGCTCCTTTATCTTTATAGAGGTGTTTTGTCTGCATGCATGTCTGTGCACCATGTGTGTTTCTGGTGCCCCCAGAGGCCAGAAGAGTATGCTGGATGCCCTGGATTTGAGGTTACAGATTGAGTGCCTGTGTAAGGGTGCTGGGATTCTAAGTGAATCTTCTGAAAGAGCAGACAGTGCTCCTAACCACTGAGTCATCCCTAAGCACAGCGAACCCGTGAGTTTTTTTTTTTTTTGGGTAACTTGCAGGAGTGTGGGTGAGGGGTTACTTAGAGAAACATAAAGAACTTATGACAGCTGCATTATGACACTCTGTGGGTGATGGCTAATAATGCTAGAAACCTGGGGATCACTGCATAGCCTGCAGGCAGCTCAAGGGAGGTCAGAAGTGTCTTTCAAGCCACTCAATACCTCCTCCAGTCAGATTGTCCTGTCTTGTCTGGTCCAGGCAGCTGGACTGTGTCTGCTCCATGGTTGTTCTGAGCATCTTTTGTGCAGCTCAGCTTGTCTAACAGTGTCAGCAGTCCTTACAGCTTATATATATGCTTATGAGGTAGGAGGGCACTAATGAATCTTGCCAAGTTCTGCAACTTCCAGAAGCTATTAAGTTGTCTATTTCTAAGCTTCGTGATCTTCTCTGCAGAATGAAGTATTTTACCTCTCACTAGAGCATCCCATTCCTTCACCTTTCTTTTAATATCCCGACTTTTCAGGGCCTTCCTCCAAGATGAAAGAGTTGAATCTCAGAGGAAGCTTATACATAGTAACCACTCCTTTTGTTTTGTGTTCAAGTAGTATACTACACGAAGAAGCCAGGAAGAAGGAAGAGAGGGTGGTAGGTAGAATACAGGTGATATGAAATGAGAGAGCGGGTATTCAGGGGGCAGAATGGTTCAAGTGTGGAGTGGCAAGAGAGGGGCTGCTGAAAGGTCAACTCAAGTGAGATGTCCATGAAGAAACTACATGGGAACCCATTTTGCAACCCAAGTAGATAATATAATTGGATATTTTTGTATAATAATAGAGGATAGTAGAACACTTGTGGTATAAAATAATGAGCATTGGATAATGTGTACTAAATGTTTAACTGGACATGGAGCAGGAAGACAGGAGGAAGAATGGGATGGTCAACCAAGAGGAAGGACATCTGAAACTTATGAAATCCCACTGTCTTACAAGTTAATAGGAAATAGAATTTTTAAAACTTTGAACAGAGGGGTCGTACATGGGTAAATAATGCTGTTCCCAGACACCATGGGTATTAAACGAACTCATTGTACCAGGTACTGGTTATCTGCCTAGGCCTTCCTGGTCAGGGAGGCCCCAGAGGCATCCCAAACAAAACAGGTCATTGCCAGTGCTCTTGCTTGGCCACCATAAGTACAGGGTGTAGCTGAAGACACCAAATACTTTGGTTGTATGATAGAGGGAGAGCATAGAACTAGAACTTACCAGGGACTGTCCTGCTGGCCAGGTTTGACAGGCCTGCAAAGAAAAGATGTCAATGGTCTAACCTACCCCTGGACCCTGCATCCTACATTACCAACCGACAAGCCAGGATGTGTGCACTGGTGCAACACTGGCATTACTGCTTATGGGAATAACCAACCTCTCTCCTGATTGAATGTGAGCTCTGCTCCATAGAGGGGAACTCATGCCTAGTACTATAACAGGGTCAGAAAACATGGCTTGGGAATTAAAAATCCAAAGGCAGAACCTATAGATGTTTTGTTAATGATCTTGTTATCTGCCATCTAAATATTCGTGTTTATAATTATCGATTTATACTACTCTCAGTCTTGGTGAAAGAAGCATCCTCTTGTAGTTGGTAATGGGTAGTACAGTACTGACAACAGCAGCCATGTAAGATTGGGTAATTGCCATTTCATCATGGCTGAGGGAGAGTCGAAAGAGTCCTTTCCTTCTTAAAGGTCTACTGGCAGTTAATGGGAGCTGTACCATTTTTATTTAGTTTGGAGTAAATACTTCCACATACTTTTCTCAGTACTTCAAAATGAATTCACACATACCTTCAGGGATTTCTTTTTTCTTTTCTATTTCTTCCTTCCTTCCTTCCTTCCTTCCTTCCTTCCTTCCTTCCTTCCTTCCTTCCTTTCCTCTCTCTCCAACCCCCAAGGTTTTGGTTGGTTCTAAAAGATTTTTGGGAATTCTTTGTGTAGCCCTGGCTATTCTGGATTTGGTCTGTAGATAAGGCTGGTCTTGAACTCACAGAGTTCCACTGGCCTCTACCTCCAAAGTGCATGCATCACCACACCTGACATTATTATGAATTTTTGGATGTTGAACAAGATAAATATTTTTGTTATAGCATTTCCCAGGGGTTGAAGCATTGGCTTACTGGTTAGTAGCATTGTTCTCTCTTCTAGAGGACCAGGGTTCATTTCCCAACACACATTTATGTGCACAACTGTTTGTAGCTATAGCAACAGGGGATGTGATGCCCTCTTCTGACATCTAAAAGCAACAGGCATACATGTAATGTACAGTAATACAAGCAGGTAAAGCAACCATAAACATAAAAAGAAAAAAAAACAAAAACAAAAAAACGAAATGAAAGAATAAAAAAGACACTATTTCATTTGCAAAATTTTATTTCAACATAAACTTTGTGATACTTTCTAAGATTTAAATATTTCTTAAAGAGGTTCACAAGTTTATCTTTATGACTCTTTCTATGTTTATTTATGGTTTTTTGAGACAGGGTTTCTTGGTGTAGCTCTGGCTACTTGAAACTTGCTTGCTCTGAAGACTAGGCTAGCCTCAAACGCAAAACTCAAGAGATCTTCCTGCCTCAGCTTCCTGAGTGCTGGGATTAAAGTTGTATGCCACCACTCCTGGCTATGTAGGTTTCTATTATGTATACTGCTGTGATTTGTAAGTAGAATACTGAATAAATGCTACATCACATTATTTAAAACAGCATTTTTCTCTTCAGTATGAATTTTCTGATGGTTTCTAAGAGTTGAGCACTTAGTAAAAGATTTGTCACATTTCTTACATCTGTAAGGTCTCTCTCCAGTATGAACTTCCTGATGCTTTCTAAGATTTGAATCCCGAGTAAAGAATTTGTCACATTCCTTACATTTGTAAGGTTTCTCCCCAGTATGAATTTTCTGATGTCTTCTAAGTGTTGAGTACTGGGTAAAGGATTTGTCACATTCTATACATTTGTAAGGTTTCTCCCCACTATGAATTTTCCGATGTCTTCTAAGGGTTGAGTCCTGGGTAAAGGATTTGTCACATACCTCACATTTGTAGGGCTTCTCACCAGTATGGATTCTGTAATGTCTTCTAAAGTGTGAAAGCTGATGAAAGACCTTGCCACATTCTTGACAACTACAATGTTCCTCAGCAGTATGCATTTTCTGATGTCTCCTGAAATTGCAATAGTGGGCAAAGGATTTGTCACAGTCCTTACATTTGTAAGGCTTCTCTCCAGTATGCCTTTTCTGATGGCTATGAAATGCTGACAGCTGTGGAAATGACTTTCCACAATCTTTGCATTTGTAAGGTTTCTCGCCAGTGTGAAGTCTTTGATGTGTTTTCAGACTTGAACGCTGGGTAAAGAATCTGTCACAGACCTCACATTTGTAAGGCTTCTCACCAGTGTGAATTCTCTGATGTGTTTTAAGATGTGATAATTCATGGAATGACTTACTGCATTTTTTACATTCATACACTACATCTAGAGAATGAATTTTCTGATGCCTCCTAAACGATGAATAGTGAGTAAAGGATCTGCCACACTCACTGCATGTGTGCTGCTTCTCTCCAGTATGGAGTCTTTGACATGTTTTGAGATTTGCACACTGGTTAAAGGATTTGTTGCAAATGTTGCACTTGTGGGGCTTCTCTCCAGTAGAAATGCCCTGGGGTACACTGAGGCTTAAGGCAGTACTGAAGCATTTCCAGAATTTCCCACACTGGTGTAGTGTCTCTCCAATGTAGATTGTTTTTTGCAACAGACTGTATACAGAGGTAAAATAGTCATGATATTCTCTCTGCCTGTGCTCTTTCTTTGCAGTGAGGGGTCTCTGATCTTGAGTCATGTTGGAACACAAATTTAAAGATTTCTCACAGTCTTTAGATTTGCAAGGTTCATCTCCAGTGTGCATGCTTTCATGTCTGTCTGGGTTTGATGAGTCAATAGAGGCATCCCTGTGGTTACTGCATCTGTAGTTATTAGAGTTTTCTGTAGTTTCACTTGTTCTATAAATTGCATATTTGGAGAGGTCATGAAGCACTTTGCCAAGCTCATTACACTGACAAGACTCCTTTTCAGTCTTCACATGTTGGTGGACAGGATCGCATATGCAATCGTTCTCTGAAAATGAGTACAAGTCATATGAATAGGACTTGTCCCAAGATTAAACATTTGATAAATGACTGCTGTGGAATGGTCTGTATGTCAAATGTGTTGTTGATTGGTCAATAAATAAGTCACTGATTGGCCAGTGGCCAGGCAGGAAGTATAGGTGGGACTAACAGAGAGGAGAATTGAGAGAACAGGAAAGCAGAAGAGAGACACTGCCAGCCGCCACGATGACAAACAGCATGTGAAGATGCCGGTAAGCCACAAGCCACGTGGCAAGGTATAGAATTATAGAAATGGATTAATTTAAGCTGTAAGAACAGTTAGCAAGAGGCCTGCCACGGCCATACAGTTTGTAAGCAATATAAGTCTCTGTGTTTACTTGGTCGGGTCTGAGCAACTGGGGGACTGGCAGGTGAGAGAGATTTGTCCTGACTGTTGGCCAGGCAGGAAAACTCTTGCTACAACCGTCTCTCTAAGTTCTCTCTTAGGTCAACCAGCAACAACTAGAATAGAGCTCTTAGTAGTCAACAATTTTCATTCACGATACTTGTATGGATTCTCAGAGAAACAGAATGAAATCCCTTGAGGTTGATCAAACAATTCATTGTGGAATCAGTAATTAGCTTTTATTCAGCAAGAAAGGGTACAGTTCAGAAGACCCAATTCCTTTTAAGATTAAAGACTTACTTAAAAGAAATCAAAGGGTTTATTTTTGTTTTCAGATACCATAAAGTTGTTTTCTACTACCAAGCTTTCCCTAGTCTCCTGTTGTTTCCAAGACAGCTAATCAGAGCTTTTATAGTGTATAGAGTCAGAACAAACAAAAGATGGGTTAGGAATTCTACAAGCAAAATGTTCTCACCCATGGAGACCAGGTTGCTGTAATTCTCCAACATCACATCAATGTATAAAGCCCTCTGAGCAGAGTCCAGGCATTCCCACTCCTCCTCGGAGAAGTCCACAGTCACATCCCTGAATGTCAACAGACCCTGCAATTAAAAAAACAGTTTAACTGGGTGTAGTGGTGCATGCTTTTAATTCCAGCATTCAAGAAGCAGAGGCAGGCAGATCTCTGTGAGTTGGAGGCCAGCCTGGTCTACAAAGTGGATTGCAGGACAGCTAGGGCTGTTACACAGAGAAACCCTGTCCCCAAAAGAAAATAAACAAACAAAAAAGTACCGATGACCAAGTGGTACCAGACAGAGTACTTTTCTAGATATGAGGAGACTTAAGAAAATTAGTGATGTAAATGAGCAAAAACAATTATTCAAAAAGATGATCTTTAACATAGTCACATTTTATAATGGATTTTCTAACTCTGTGAAAACAGGATGAAACAATAGTCTTACAAGCAGTATATAAGAAACAAGAAATATATTTAAGGTCTGGACATGGTTATCTATCTGTTATGGATGCTGTGTTTATGTCACATAGGATCACAACAGACATGTCTCAGGAGGAAAATTCATGATGACAAAATGTGTTTCAAATGCTATACCTGTAGATCATGCTAAAACACTGACACATATCAATCCTGTGTGTACTGACTGGGGCCTTACATGACTATTCTAACAGGCTCAGTTGGGATGTTTAAACTCTAGGTACAATGCCACACCATTAAATAGCAAATGGGTAGGTATGGAAGGCAGACATCATGACTGACATTATAGGTAGAAATTTTGGATTTTTTTCCTCAGTAACAAGGAGCATAACAACACTGCATGCTGCCGACATTAATATATGAGATAGATGGTTCATGTAATTAATTTTATGAGGCTATTTGGGCCACTACCAAGCAGATAGAAAAATCTGCATCAGCCACATTTTATATAATCTAAAATTTTACTAAAAAATAGGTATAAGACAAATTAGACAAATAAAAATCTCAGAAGTTTTGGATAATATTTCACTCCCCAAGAGTTGTAAAAATTTATGGAAGTCCAAAAATATACCAAATAATGTTTAAGTTGCAAGTAAGCATGTATATGTTAAGTGTAGTAACTGTGGATCCATTCAGAAGTGACAGAGATTTCCTGTGAGTAAATGAATATATTAAAGTGTGTGGGAATTATAGCCACCTTTCAGTGCTTTGCAAATATGAAAGAGCACAGAAGGATGGCTCAGGAGAAAATCTGAGCTACTGTGTGTGAATTTGTAGTCCTCAATGTGTTCCTTTTTACTGCTTATGCTGTATTGTCTAACAGATTTTAGGTTAGTAGCGTTTATGATTCTTCCTTTATTTGTCTGGAAATGGAAAGTGGTGATATATTCTGTCTAAGCCACAAGTCAGGGACAGAAATGCAAACCTGCAGGTCAGAGCCCATTCCCCAAATCTCCACTTTAAAACACTGCGGCTTCAGGGAAGGGGAGTCGAGCCACGACTCTCACAGGAACTGACTAGAGCAAGGCAATCATGAGGAATGTTCTTTCTGCATGAAATGTGATGGTTTATGCACATCTATAAGACAATGCCCCCAAGACATTCATGATGCATTCAACATAATGCTACATAACGTTTCCCAGCCAGAAAGGGCTGGCGGCACAGTGGGATCCTGTTTGGGACAGTGAGATGGGGGTGGGCCATGGATGACACACTGATATCTCCAGTTTGGGAAGTTACCACTGAGCATCCTAACCAAGGGAGTGATGTGAGCAGCAATTCTTCTGAGACAAACAGATATCAGGTGTCAACAAACACATGGACGAATCAACAATGTTGTGATAGGAAACACCAAAGAGAAATACAAGTAGACTACAAGCTGATACTATGCTCTAGAACACCAATTTCATGGCATGATCAAGACACATGTGCCAGCCATGTTCCACACTCTCTAGCGTGCTTAACCAAGTGTTATTTAGTATTAAGAACCAAGATTTTTTGCCTACTTTGCTAACTATTAAGTGGACATAACTTACTGTTTTTCTTTCTGGATTCTCTATCCAATTCTGTTATCCTCCTGTCTCTCTTAATTCCACACATTTCTAAGATGTTGCAGTAACCAGTCCTTGCGTTTCAGAGTGCATTTTTATAAGCACGATTCAAGGACATTGCACAGATTCCATAAATGGAGCCTATATACCACATGAGGCCTCACTCAACAAGATATAAGGATATAGTCCATTTGCTGTAGCAACTGGGCTTCAATTTTATTTTTCCCTTGAGATAGAATTTGGATATCCTGGAACTAGCTCTGTAGAAGAGGCTAGTCTTGAATTCATAGAGATCTGCCTGCTTCTGCCTACAAAGTGCTGGCATTAAAGGTGTGACGCATGACCACCAGGCCCCAACATTTTTGTTGTTGTTGTTCATGTGTCACAGAGGAAATATTTTCCAAATTACAGGTCATAAGTGAATATGGGATGTGTACCCTTAAAACAAAACAAAATGGGGGGGAGGGACTGATATCTAGCATTTACTGAGATTTATACAAATTAATTACCAAGGAAATAAAACTGCTATTCAAGAAATGGGTAAATGATCTGAATAGAACTTTGTGAAGAGAGAAATAGAAATGGCCAATAAATGTTGCAAAGAGTGTTCAGGATCCCTAAAATGCCATCATGGAAAAACAAACTAAATCTGCTTTGAAATACTGCTTCACCCCAGGCAGAGTATGGCTGTCATCAACCAATCTAACAATAAATGATAGAGATGATGTGGAGAGAAAAGAACCATCATTAACTGTTGGTGTGTGTGTGAGAGTGTAAATTAATACAGCCATTGTGGGAACCAGTTTGGAGATTATTGAAAAAATTGAAGATAGAACTATTATAAGACTCAGCAATGTTGCTCCTAGGAACATAACCAGAGAACTCCATACCCCACTGTAGGAATATTTACACCCCATGTTTACAGCTGCCGTATTCAACATAGCAAAGTATTGGAATGAACCTAATTGTCTATCATCAGATGAATGGATAATAAAAAGTGGTATACATATAAAATAGAATATTATCCAGCTGAAGAGAAATGTGTAATAAAAATCTGCAGGAAAATAGATGACTCAAAATATATAATATTAAGTGCAGTCATACAGTATCAGAGAGAAGAAATCACATTTTCCCTCATATGAATAATTTTGCTATTAATATATATGGGAAACAACATACATGTGGGCATAGCAGAATCTGGAAAAAAGAGAACAAGAAAGGTTAACAATTATCAGGGCTTGAGGTAGGACTGAATGCAGGTAATGAACACCAGTTATGAAAAAGGATATAAAGGGTATTGCTTTTCTTCTAATACTGTCATAGGCTTTTTGGTTTTGTTGGTGGATGACTACATCAAAATATATTTGATTGTGAAAACATAAAATCAAATGTGAGACTCCAGAGCTGAGTTCAAGGCCAGCCTAGTCTACAAGGTGACTTATAGGACAGGCAGAGATACACTAAAAAACTCTGTTTTCAAAACAAAACAAAACAAAACAAACACCACAAAGTTCATTGAGTTGTATAATCTTTTCATCTGGTTAATTTCAGTATGTGAAATTTTTTTGTTTCTTTGCAACGTTTTTTATAATAAAGTTAAAAAAAATTATCAGAAACAAAAAACAGAGTCTTTCAATGTCTCAAAATATAACATTTCTAGAACAATAGTGGACATGACCACTGACCTGGGACATGTTTACTGGAGAATCAGCCTTTTCTTTCCGTTTCTCTTCTTTAAGTTTCTCTTCCAGGAATAATGAATGATGGCTTGCTGCCCTTTCATAAAAGGGGTCAAAAAGGAAAAGCAAAAATTAATACTGAAAGCTGTAAAAGAACAATGAAAAGACCCAAACAACAGATTACAGGTGTCCAGTCCATGATCCCAAATCCAGGAAATCATGGACTGACACAGGAAGCTTGGAGAGAAAACCATTAAACATATTGTTGCCTCCAGAAAAATAGTCTCTTTAACTGATGGAGACATAAGTCATTTCAAGACAGTCCTGAGTTAACACAACTGATTTCACTAAAGCAGCACCGCAGATAATAAATTAGAAACAGAAGATACACAGGAGAGTCAACAAAATATCATCCTTGAGAACATGGGAAACAATAATTTTTTATTTGTTTGTGTTTTGGAGGCAGGGTTTCTCTGTGAAACAATCCTGGATGTCCTGGAACTCACTCTGAAGACCAGGCTGGCCTCAAACTCACAGAAATCCGCCTGCCTCTGCCTCCCAAGTGCTGGGATCAAAGGTGTGCACCACCACTGCCAGTCTAGGAAATAATAAATTTCATGTCAAGAATAGATAAATACAGGAGAACTGGAAAGTAATCACCCATAGGCAAGACAGCAAATTACAAATTCTCAAAAAGAAGGAAGAATTAATCCAACCATTACCAACCAGCAACATCAAAAACCAAAACGTAGGGAATGAAAACCCTATCAAAATATTTAGCCACCAGTAGCACATGTCTTTAATTCCAGCATTTGGGAGGCAGAGGCAGGCAGATCTCTGAGTTCAAGACCAGCATGGTCTACAGAGCTATTTCCAGGATAGTCAGGACTACACAGAGAAACCCTGTCTAGAAAACCAAAAACAAACAAAAATATCTAGCTACTCTGGAAATCCATAGAGAGAATCCTCATCTTAACAAACAAATCCTCATCTTAAGTAAGTCTAGCACATGATCCAGCTGTTTCATTCCTTGGTATACCCTCAAAGGACTCCACATCGAACTCCACAGATATTTGCTCACCCTTGTTCATTGCTGCTCTATTCCCAATAGCTACAAAAGGGAAACAACCTTAATGTCCTTCCACTGACAAATGGATAATGAAAATGTGGTTGATATACACTATGGAATGTGATTCAGCTGTTAAAAAAAATTGAAATTGCTGGTTGGTGGTGGCGCATGCCTTTAATCCCAGCACTCAGGAGTCAGAGCCAGGCAGATCTATGTGAGTTTGAAGCCAGCCTCGTCTACAGAGTGAGATCCAGGACAGGCACCAAAACTACACAGAGAAACCCTGTCTTGAAAAAAACAAAACAAAATAAAACAAAACAAAAAAGGGAAATTAAAATCATGAGCTTTTCAGCTAAATGGATGGACTTAGAAAAGATCACATTGAGTGAGGTAACCTAGACCCAGAAAGACAGACATTGCATGGTCTCTCTCATAGAAAGTTCCCAGCTTAAAATCTTCAGATGTGAGTACACAACCCAGAGTGACTGCAGTAACCCGAACTCCAGGCATCAGAAGCCTGCTTTGAAGCTGATAGTCACAGCTGTCCAAGAGACTCCCAAAACATTGTAGCTTATTGATGTTGCTCATGTTTGCCTCACAGAGGTAGAAGGTGAGTCGCTTGTTGAAGTCATGCACTTCAGACACAGATCCCAAAGGACTAGAGATGGTTATGACCTTAAAGCTTCCTCCCTGGGGACTAGCTTTCATGGTACTAGAAGGCAACATTCAAGCTTCCAAAGGAGGGAGCCAGTCAACAGTCTTATCCAGCTATTGACACCTATGAACCACAACAATGATCTGCACTGCATGATAGCCCTAAGGGTGCAAGAGTGGCACACAGACCTTGGTGGTAACCAACAGCTTCTTATTGCATCAAGACCCTCTCAACAAGAGGGAAATCATGACTGGTACTGGAAACCTAACTAGTTTCCCTAGGGCTAGTGAAGGCATGGATCTTGGAGGAGAACCTATAATCACTATTTTACCAAATCAGCATAATCCCTAACTGCATTCTGAGTATTTTCCTTATTCACACAGATAAATGAAGTTCTCACACCTCATCAAGAAAAATTCTTTTAGCAATACATGGAGATTATGTAAAGTTGTGATGCTCTGTCTCAACTAACATACAAGGAACAGAACTCCTTCACCTCAGGCTCAGAGATCACTGAGAAAGAGGGGCGGGAATAGTGTAAGAGCCAGAGGAACAGGATGTTTGCTGTGACATTGTGTTTCCTAGAAATGTCAGAGAAGCTACACACATGAAATCATACAAACATGGCTGCCTAAACATGAGCTGAACAAGGACAACACCAAGAGACATGCTAACATGGAAGGGAGAAGGCTCATTAGGCCTCAACCCAAGTCAAACACTAAGGAATTCTGAGAGCTGGAAAAATGGTCTTCCCCAGAGAAGAGTACAGCACATGGATATCCATTACCAAATGTTCATCCCTGAAAACATACAGACTGAGTAGGTTGTATTTTTATGTTTATGGATACACACAAATATACAACAGCAGTTAAAGAAAAATAAATGCCTCTGTAGAGTCAAGATTTTGGATCACGTGCATAGAAATAAACAATAGAATATAACATTTTCTATTATTGCTATGCACATAATAAACAATATCAGAATAGAGAGATGGCTCAAGGGTTACAAGCACCTGTTGTTCTCTTATAAACCCAAACTCCAACTTTAGGATGCACATGATATATAGCCATTCAGGAAACAAACACTCATATACATAAAATATACAAATCTATCTTTAGAAAACTGAATAGTAAATAAAAATAAGAGAGACAGAGAGTACAAAATAAAATTCCCTTGAATGAACTAACCAAAGAGATGAAAGAGCTCTACAATGAAAACTGATTCACTGAAGAAACAGAAGAAAATGATAACTAGAACATGGAAAAAATGACTTATACAGATGGAAGAGGACATAATATTGTGAAGCTTGCAGTATTTCTGAAAGAGGTTTATATAGTCAGTTCAAACTGCATGATATTTGAACATTCCACAACATACTTCATAGAAACAGTAAAGAGAAACTAGAAATTGTATTGATGCACAAATTCCCTGGGTACAGAGCAGCCCTAGGGAAATGTTACAATGCTGGAACTATCCTGGTGTGATTCCAGATGACACTGCAGGGCCACACAACCAACAGCATCATGGGAGTGGAGAAGACAGACAAACAGCCCAATGTACTACAGCAGCAGATCCAGAACGTGCTCAATAGCAATGACCCTGTGAATGCCATCAAAATACCACAAACACGTGTTGCAGAAGCTATCTATAGTCTCTTCAAACAGTGACATTGGGAAAAGTATCATCCACATATAAAAACATGAACCTGGATTCAAGCTCTCTACCATACAATGAATCACAGACCTTCATCTGTGATCTGAAAGAGTGAAGCCTGCAGAGGAACACAAAGGGGCAACACTTGTTAGAAGAGCAGGAACTGATAAATAGTACTGTGTAAAGTTAAAAATGTCCAGGGACATGGTAATAATTAAATGTATGAAGAGAGAGCCTACACAGCAGATACATTTATTAGCTACCTATTTATAGTACGATGGGTGAAAACCCAGAATCTATCAAAGAAAACTTACAAAGGGAGAAAATAATAATATATTCAATAAATAAGAAAATGTATTTGTAGCTAGAGTTTTCCTGCCTGGCCCACGGTCAGGGCAAATCTCTCTTACCCGCCAGTCCCACAGCCGCTCACACCCAACCAAGTAAACACAGAGACTTACATTGGTTACAAACTATATGGCCATGGCAGGCTTCTTGCTAACTGTTCTTACAGCTTAAATTAATCCATTTCTATTAATCTATACCTTGCCACGTAGCTTACCGGCATCTTCACATGCTGTTTGTCATGGTGGTGGCTGGCAGTGTCTCTGACTCAGCCTTCCTCTTCCCAGCTTTATTCTCCTCCTTGTCCTGCCTATACTTCCTGCCTGGCCACTGGCCAATCAGTGATTTATTTATTGACCAATCAGCAACACACTTGACATACAAACCATCCCACAGCACTTCCCCTTTTCTTTTTTTTTTCAAAAAGGAAGGTTTTAACCTTAACGAAGTAAAATTACATATAATTTGGGAATTTGGGTGTAGCTTCTCTTACTACTTCCTGCTGGAGGGGGGCGCTGTATCTTATGGGGACACAAAGAAAATTTTAGGATTATGGAATAGTCCATGAGGCTGTATTGTCTTAGCCAGTTGCCTTCAATCCGATCTGGATGTTGGATTATCTGGGTCATGGTGTCATCAGAGACCTTTCAGGGGGTCTTGGCTGGTCAAACCTGATGCATCTTAATCTGGAACAAATCCATAGCCTCTGGCTTTCTGTGGGAACAAAAGCAGAGTCTCCTTTCCAAAGCAACATATCCTTATATCCAAATTTTGAAGTCAAAGTACCTTTAAAATATACATTTTGGCATAACTCAACATCTTTTACGATCAAATGTTTTTCTGCAGTTAAAAATCCCAAAGATAACACAATCCAGATTCTCTGTGTAATATTCATCTTCATGTGCTTATTTTTTATACTACCTTTACTGTATCTTTAAAGACTTTATTTTTAAAAACTATTTATTTCTTTATATAACTGTATATATTCCTTTTTCTCTCTCTTTCAAGCCTATGTACATTTTTAGACACATTGTAAACTATTACATCTGAATCTGTCTTATTGTGAATTTATTGCTTTAAACTGCAGCAGCTGTGGCTGCTGGCTCCGTCCACCTCAGCTTCCCAACATGGCGGCAGTACGTTTTCCGCCAGCTCTGGGAGCTATTGTGGGTCTCTATGCTTTTATCCAAGCAGCGTGTAGCCCAGAAACCTCTTTTTTTGTTTTGTACTAGCAAAGGGTAAATCCACCACGCAGCTTAATGTGCCACTTGCAGAGGCCTCATTCCCGCCATACTGCAGGTCCCACCAGTAGCTCAAATGGGCAGCTGCCGCTCATTTGAAAGAGACAATTAGGAAGCTGTTTTTAGCTCCGTTTTAGAATCTTTTCTCAGGTTTTAGGTGGAAACTCTTGCCAACACGTTGGATGCCATTTGTAGCTAGAGTTTTCCTGCCTGGCCCATGGTCAGGGCAAATCTCTCTCACCCGCCAGTCCCACAGCTGCTCAGACCCAACCAAGTAAACACAGAGACTTATATTGCTTACAAACTCTATAGCCGTGGCAGGCTTCTTGCTAACTGTTCTTACAGCTTAAATTAATCCATTTCTATTAATCTATACCTTGCCACGTAGCTCGTGGCTTACCGGCATCTGCACATGCTGTTTGTCATGGCGGTGGCTGGCAGTGTCTCTGAGTCAGCCTTCCTCTTCCCAGCTTTATTCTCCTCCTTGTCCCACCTATACTTCCTGCCTGGCCACTGGCCAATCAGTGATTTATTTATTGACCAATCAGCAACACACTTGACATACAGACCATCCCACAGCATGTATTGAACAGACTGGGCCAATATGTACATAATAAAAGCTCTAGCATGTAGATCATAAGATAATATAAATTTAATGTACAGAAATTACAACTCTGTCTAGTCAGTGTCCACACTCAAGTTCCTAAACAATAACAGATGCATTTTTCATTAATTTCTTGAAATTCAAATGGATAATGTTCCATAAAGATGTAAAGATGTAAACACATTAAAGCATTAAAAAAAAAAGAAAAACGACAGCTGAAATTAAAGCATTTTTTTTTTTTACCAAAAATTCATTTCATATCTAAACACACAAGATACTGAGAAGGATTTTTTTTCAAGATTTATTTATTTATTATGTATACAGCATGTATGATTGCAGGCCAGAAAAGGGCACCAGATCTCAGTACAGATGGTTGTGAGCCAACATGTGGTTGCTGGGAATTGAACTCAGGACCTCTGGAAGATCAGTCAGTGCACTTGACCTCTGTGCCATCTCTTAAAAAAAATAAAATAAAATAAAAAACAATATCATGACTATAGACAGCAGTAAAGAAGACTGATAATCATAATTACAATAATGACAGAAAAATCAAGAGAAAAGTATCAAAATACAGAATAAAGAGTATTGCAAATGATAAAATGGCCCATTAATAGAAAGTTCTTTGATCAGCAGGGATGCATGTCACAAAACCTGGAATGCATATATCCAAAGCAGATATAAAACAGGAGAATACATAAATCATGTGAAAACTGTCACATTGCCTCAAGTTCTTTTCAAACAGGAGAAGACAACCTAGAAGGAGGCTGGTCTTCTCTAAGACTCCAAGCAGCTCCCATTACAATCCTATTTTCTTATTTTACAGAAAGTAATCCTGAAAGTACCAAGGAACAGCAAAGAGATGGAAAATACTAAGAGGATCAAACCTAGAGGTGATCTCACAGTGTGTTACAATTACAGCAATGGAAGCCAGGTGGCGGTGGTGGCGGTGGCGGCGGCAGCGGCGGAGGCAGTGGTGGTAGCAATGACTTTAATCTCAGCACTTGGGAGGCAGAGGCAGGGGATTTTGTGAGTCTGAGGCCAGTCTGGTCCATAGAGCGAGTTCCAGGACAGGCTCCAAAGCTACAGAGAAGCCCTGTCTCAAAAAACCAAAAAACCAATACAAAACAAAAAACCAATTACAGCAATGGAAATGACTTGGAACTGTCATGACAACAGACAACAGGAGATATCCATGGGAAGACAGTACAGATGGAGTTTAACAGTCTGTAAACGTACTTCCTGATTCTTATCAAAACTCTGTTGGCATTATTTTCAGGAATGGAGACATTAACACTAGAAGGTAGAGAATGTTTTAGAATACCAAAGCTCCAAAATTCTGTAAACAATAAATAATCCTGGATGTATTAATTTTCATCATTGTATAATATATTAAAATCATAGAAATGAAAGCAAATTAATATTGGTTTGAAGACATGATCAGTGATGTGCATGGAAAAAAGGCAGCATCACTCACATGCTTAGTCAAATACAATTTTATTTGCCTCCTAGTATGAATTCTTCTGTAGAACCTGTCGTCATACCTGCAATATGATAATTGTGACATTTTTCTCAGTGGAAGTCTCTAGAAATATTTCTAAGGTATTTCATGTCCCACTCCTACATTCATTTGAACCCCTTGGAATCAATCTTCACCAATCCCTCCAAATACCTACATCCTTAGCTACTGTCTCCTCTTTCTCCATCTTCCAGGCCTCTTTGTTCTGCTGTGAGCAGGTCTGGGTGATCTGTGAGATTCTTCAGAGAGCACCTGGATTTCTAACACAGTACTGTGCTCAGTAGATGAAGAGGAATCTACAAGTGATTCCCAATTGTCATGCAGGGTCAGAATACTGACAATATTTAGAAAGCATTTTCAGTTAGAGTAACTTGAATGCCACTTCTAATTACAGTTCATTCAAATCTCAGGGGCAGAAATGGAACTGAATGATTGGGATGAGAATATCATACACTAGTGAGGTTCTGAATTTATCAGGGCCAGATATGATGGAAGCTCTACACCTCTGAAAAGGACTCACAAGAACAGAGACCATTTCATGAAATTTTTCTGAAATGAACATGAAATTGTTGCCCTGAGGATTTATTTCACTTTACTCTGTGAGATGTTACACAGGTCAACACAATAGTTTTCCCAGGAACCCTGAGCAAGAGCAAGGGAGACTACAAGAAAACTATTCTCAACCATAGAAATCAGAATACTGCAATTCTGCAACATTCAGTCTCTGTACAAAGCCCCTAGGGAAGGGTCAGGCATTGCCCCTTAGAAAGGTTGTGTTGGTGCACACTTTTTTTTTTTTTTTTTTTTTTTTTTTTCGGTTTTTTGAGACAGGGTTTCTCTGTGTAGCTTTGCGCCTTTCCTGGAACTCACTTGGTAGTCCAGGCTGGCCTCGAACTCACAGAGATCCACCTGCCTCTGCCTCCCGAGTGCTGGGATTAAAGGCGTGCGCCACCACCGCCCGGCGGTGCACACTTTTAATCGTAGCACTTGGCAGAAAACAGGTGGGTGGAACTCTGTGAGTTCCAGACCAGCCTGGTCTACATGGATGAGTTTGGGCCAGACAGAGCAACACTGTGAGTTCAGGTCTCAAACACAGCAAACACAAGAACCAAAAAAATAACAGTTTGGTCATGTGTCCATTGACAGGAGTGCTTTTCTTGAACTGAGGAGACAAGACTATTGTAGACATTTTTCTGATGTAGATAAGTTGTTATAAGTATTCAAAAGACACTTTCTAATAACACCCTACTCTATAATGTTTTTTCTTTTTTGTTTTTGTCTTTTTATTTTGTTTTGTTTTGAGACAGGGTTTCTCTGTGCATATATCTCAGACAGAAAATGAATGGTGAGTAAAAAGTTTAGTTTTAAATGTTAATGTTTACAACCATACAAGGGGAACTGGCAACACACACACACACACACACACACACACACACACACACACACACACACACACACACACACACACACACACACACACACACACATCTGATTCACTTCAATCTGCAGGCATTTCTGCAGGGTAACAGTCGGCCAGTGGAAAATCCTCTGTCCCTGGCCTGCCCAGAGACTCAAGAGTCTTGGAAATTCCACCCTGAGTCCCTGTTAATGGACAGTGTTTCAGCCTTCATCGCCAAGCAATACTTCCGGTCACAATGTACTTTTCCACTAGGTCACAGCACACACTACAAAGACACTATAAAAGCCGACCCTCCACTCAGCCCTCTGATGTCTCATTCCTTACAGTGGCAACCACTGTTCTGTGTCTCCAATAAATCTGTGTGAGCGTTGTTGCCTGGAGTGATTTTGTGTTTGCTATTCCTTGTCTCCCGACTGCAAAGATGCCCTTGCTCTGAAAAAACCTTACTTCTTTTTCTAAGACTTTTCCAGGAATGCCAAGTCCTCAGGTACCCACCTATAACACGGGATTTGGCGTGGATGAACGTAGATTTCAAGAGCTTTTTCCTTTCCACCAAAGCAAAGAGAATCATGTTTGCAAATATCGACAGATAAATTGAAATATTCTATTAGGGTGCTCTTATACGATATTATGGCAGCCGGGCGGTGGTGGGGAGGCACAATTGGATGCATCTGAGTTCTAGGCCAGCCTGGTCTACAGAGTGAGTTCCTGGACGAGAAGTGTAAGACATCCACAGCAGAATTTCGGATCCAGCTTCATTCTGAACAACCGAGAAACTGCTCGCTCCCCTGGTCCCTCCCCTCCCGTGTCCCAGCCCCGCAGCTCCTCTGACCTGGGAGGTTCCAGGGCCGCCGGGCTGCGGTTCCCGCCACTGCGCTGCTGACTGGTGACTTTCCCAGGCCGCCCCGCGCGGCCACTGCGGCTCCGGGGAGGTTTCATGTTCCGGAATACCCGGCCGGGTCCTCCGCACCCAGGTCTGCACCACACGGTTCCCCACGGTGCAGGACCGGGTGCAACGACAGGGAATGGGCACTTGACACTTTTGGCTTCAGCTCTTTAGTCTAGAGGTTTCCCAGCTTCCGTTTACGTCACTCTTCTAGCCCCACCCACTCTCCCCCTTCATCTACACCGACGTAAACGCCAACAGCCTCCCAACCGCTGTTTCCGGGTGAATGTCCCCGCCCTTCTAGACCTGCCTCTCCCACTCTGTCTCAGGCTGCCTTCCCCACAGCTCCAGCTGTCAGGCTGCCCTGGACCCGCTCTGCACAGCCTCCCCACATGCTCGCTGCCAGCCTAGACCAGAACTGGATCTAGGAGGACGCTGCACCCTGGTATCTGAACCCTACAGTGAGTCTGAACCCTTCAGATAAAACACAGGCAGCCAAACCTCGACTTGACTACCAGCCTCCCGGGCTACATATTTACAACAGACGATAACCCGCTAAATTCAGATGCCAGCGTCCCATCGCCAACACAAACATGAGAAGCCAAAACCAAATTCTGCAGTTGTGACTTGTGAGAGAAGTCACACAAGTGACCTGGATTTTGAAAAGAATTAGGTGTCTCCAGAAGTCAGTGGTTAGTCCACCGCTATCAGCCCAGGGCTGAGTTCATCCCGCGCTGTACTGCTCTCACCACCAGATGGTGGTCTTGTCATTTTACTAACTCAGAAACAAGTTCTCATGCTAAAGGTGCTTTTCAGATAAAATATACAATTTTTTAATGCAATGGTGAATGCAGAGACGCTTGCTGTCCCAGATGCAGTAAGTAAGGAAGCTTCCTGTTATGTCACTCCTCTAACTTCTCCTAAGGCCTCTCTATCCTCCACCTACACTCACCTAAGGTCCAACACCCTCCCCTCCCCAACACCTGTCCCTCCCACTAAAGTCAGTGGCTCTGGGAACACGAGGGAAGAGGAGGAGGAGAGGGAATAAGAAGGGAAGGAGGAGGAAGGGCTAAGACATGCCATTCTCTAGACTCCACACAGCTGTTGTAATCAGTAACCAACAGCAGCTGTACTGACCTGCATGGACCTCACACTAGACCACAATCAGTCTAGGAAAGGGAAAGGCTCTCAGGGCCCACCCTTTACTTCTCAAATGTTGTCTATGGATGCGTTGTAGGATATGCCCTGGATTGTAGTTCTCTGCTGAGCCCACCAGGCTCCAACACATAGCTCCAAACCCACAGTCTCACTGTGGCCCTGGTTAATCTCAGTGGGTCCCAAGCAAAATGAACAGAGAGGAACATAGTGAAGATTTGTTGGGATTGTGGACCAGGATAGTAGAGGTAGGAGGTTAAAGTGGGCAGTATTTGAGGTGCACGCACACAAACACAGAGTGTGTGTATATACATATAGATGTGTGTGAATGTGAAATATCTAATAATAGACTTTGTTGTTGTTGGTTTTTTTTTTTTTTTTGGTACAGAGTTTTTATGTGTAACCCTGGCCATCCTGGAACTCGATTTTTTAGAGTAGATCGGGCTTGCCTTGAAGTCCCAGGGATCAGCCAGCTTCTTCTTCAGGAGTGCTGGGATTAAAGGCATGTGCCACCGTCCGGAGCTCAGAAGTTTTTTTAAATGAATATACCAGTCTGTAGTTTCTTTTTGGCTGTATCATTACCTGGTGGTTTGTTTACTTATTTGTTTGTTTATTGTTTTTTCAAGACAGGGTTTTTCTGTTTAATAGTCATGACTTGTCTATTACTCACTTTGTAGACCAGGCTGCCCTTGAACTCACTGAGATCCACCTACCTTGGCCTCTGAAATGCTGGGTTTAAAGGTATATGCTACCGTGTTCAGCTCATTACCTGATAAAAATAACAGGTAATACTAAGAGCCATGAAGTCTTCCTTTTTGTGTCAATTAGTATTTTAAGTATCTTTGCTGCTAGTTTTTCTCTGGAATTTTTTTTGTTTGTTTTTTTGTTGTTTTTTTGAAACAGGGTTTCTCTGTGTAGCTTTGCACCTTTCCTGGAACTCGCTTTGTAGACCAGGCTAGTCTGGAACTCACAGAGATCCACCGGCCTCTGCCTCCCGTGTGCTGGGATTAAAGGCATGCACCACCACCGCCTGGCTGGAGTTCTGACAGAATCCTGTCAGTCTGATCATAGGGTTCTTTGAAGGGTGACATTTTATAACTGCTTTAGTCACATTGCTACTGATGTTCTGTAAACATATCTATTTTATGTTGCTTTAAATTTGGTATGTTATATTCATCTATTTCACTTAGTTTCCAATTTAGTGTAACAGAAGTCTTTAATGTCAGTTAACAAGAGATCCAGTTGATCACTCATTTCTATCATGTAGGCAGTACAGTTATCTTGGGTAATTGTCAAGACATAAAGGTAGTGGCACACACCTTTAATCCCAGCACCCAGAAGGCAAAGGCAGGCAGATCTCTGTGAGTTTAAGCTCAGCCTGGCCTACAGAGTGAGTGCCAGGTCAGCAAAGGGTACACAGGAAATAACAAAAAAAATATAATAACAAAAAGTTATGTATAGTTGGGCAAGGTCATGCAAGCCTTTTAACCCAGCACTCAGAAGGGACGGGCAAGGGGAACTCTGAGTACAAGGCCAGCAAGCTCTACACAGCGAGTCTCTGACAGCTGGAGATACACAGAGACATTGTCTTAAAACAATGTAAATTGCTCCCTGAGGAACAGCTTTCATGGTACCAGAAGCACCATGCAAGCTTCCAGAGAAGGGGGCCAACAAACAGTCCTAGCCAGCTATGATGTCTACACATCACATCAACTGTCATCCTGGAACAGTAGCCCTAAGAATGCAGTAGTGGCAAGCATACCTTGGTGGTAACCAACATCTCTTTCTTTGGACTTAAGATCCTCTTAACAAAAGAGAAACTGTGAGTGGTACTAGAAATCTAGCTACCTACAGGTGCTGGTGAAGACAAAAATTTTAGAGGACAAGAAACAAGCACCACTTTACTAGACCATCACAATCCCAGGCAACTAACTGAACATTTTCCCTTACGCCCACAGGTAAGTTAGTCTTCACCCCTCATCAAGGAAACTTCTCTTTTCAACAGAGAACAAACACTACAAAAATCCACAACTAATCAAAATGCAGAGTTGTGGAGACCAGGCCCACTGGATACATCTGTAAAACCCTCCTGCACCTAACGCTCAAGTATCATTTTTGAAGAGTGGGTATAAAGATTAAAAGAGGCAGAGGACCAGGGAGTTTGTTGTGAGATTGTGTCTCCTAGTGTATTAGTCAGGGTTTTCTAGTGTAACAGAACTTATGGAATGAATATATATAATCGAGATTTATTGGAATGACTTACAGGCTGCTGTCCAGCTAATCCAACAATGGCTGGCTGTAACAGAAAGTCTAAAAATCCAGGAGTCGGTTAGTCCACAAAGCTGAAGATGTTGGCTGGTCTTCAGTATATGCTGGAATCCCAAAAAAAGTAGGCTGCAACGCAGTGAAGGAATGGATGTGTTAGCAAGAAAATGAGCCAACAAACAGGCAATGAGCAAAATGATTCCTATTTCCATGTTCTTACATAGGCTTCTGGCAGAAGGTGTGGTCCAAATTAAAGGTGTTATCTTGCAGCGTCTCTATCCTGATCAAAGGTGTGCGTCCTTCAGCCTGAAGATGTGAATTAATGGCATGTGTCTTCCTATCTCAAAGCTCCAGACTAAAAGTGGATTCAGTCCCTTCAAAACAAGCAAAAATAATCTCACTGGTGTGCCCTCCATTTCTGCATTGTAGTTCATTCCAGATGTAGTCAAGTTGGCAACCAAGAATAACCATCACACCTGGCAATGCTCGAAGCTTTGTCTATAAAATCTCACCAACACAACCTCCCAAATGTGAGCTGGACAAAGACAAGAACAATGGGCATGCCCAAGTGGATGGGGATAAGCCCACATGGCCTCAAGCCCACACAGAGAACTACAGACAACTGGGGGATGGTGGGAGCAGGAGAACTAGTCTCCCCCAGGGAAGAGCACACCAACTGGTTATTCAGTACCAAATAGTCAGCTTGAAAACATGCATAAGTAACATATGTATTGAGTAGGTTATTTACAAATATATATGTATGCACATAGACATATATGTATGCAATCACACTTAATAAAAAAGATGCCATGAATTTGAAAGTTAGCAGGGAAGGTATATGGGAGGATCTGTCTGAAGGAAAGTGAATGGAGAAATGTCCTAATAATATAACAAATTCAAGTTAAAGATGTGAAAAAAAGAAAAACGAAGAAAACAAATGAGCATACAACAACAACAAACCTAAACTAAAACCAAAAGAAACAAAAAATGTTATATATCTATCAGGGATACGAAGACTAGGACTCCTTTAAGATTGCATGATGCTCTAGATAAAATGTCAGTCATCAGGAGTAGATAGCTAATGTTGACATAAATGTGGGGAAAGGTCATACATTGCTGTGGGAGTGAGAATTAGGGAATGAACATTTGAAATTAGTCCAGAAGTCCCCCACTGATAAATGAAGAAATGAAAGAAAGAAAACTATATTGTGACACAAAGCACTGATTGTGACACTATTCCAGTGGAAACAATGACAACATCTACTTATCGCAGATAAGGAACCAATGACAAACCAAAGCTGGGAACCAACGAAGTCTAACTTGGTGAACCAATGAGGTTTATGTTTTTTTTTCTCTTTTAGGCGTGTTTTGTCTGCATGTATGCCAGTGTGCCGTGTGTGTTCCTAGGGCTAGCTAACCCAGAAGAGGGCACTGGATGCCCTGGAGTTGAGGTTACAGATTGAGTGCCCATGTGAGAGTGCTGGGAATTCAAAGTGAGTCTTCTGAAAGAGCAGACAGTGCTCTTTCTGTGATATTTTATTTGTGCTTTTAACAAATAAAGCTTATCTGAGGATCAGAGGAAAAAGTCAGCCACTATAGTAAACACAGGGTCAGGCAGTGGTAGCCCACACCTTTAATCCTAGCATTTGGGAGACAGAGAGTTATCTGGATCTCTGTAAGTTCTAAGCCACACTAGGAACAGAGTCAGGTGTGGTGGCACATGCCTAAAATTTCAACGCTAGTTAACCATAAAGAACTGGAGGTCTGTACAGACAGACAAGAAATGACAGAGCTGGGCAGGAAGAGCAAGTAATGTAGCTGGGCAGAGAGAAGAAATGATATGGCAGAACAGAAAGGCATATAGGCGTGGGTATACAGGAAGTAGGTCTCTTTGGAGACTGAAGTGTCGATGAGGTGAGGTTGGCTGTGGCTTTCCCTATTCCTCTGATCTCTTGGCTTTTCACCCCAATATCTGGCTCCAGTTGGTTTTTTTTAATTAATAAGACCACTTAGCAATTTGTCTTACAGTGTCTTCTCTAAAGTCAAGTTGACCAGTGAGTTTTTTTTTTTTTTTTCTTCTTCTCGAGACAGGGTTTCTCTGTGTAGCTTTGCGCCTTTCCTGGAACTCACTTGGTAGCCCAGGCTAGCCTTGAACTCACAGAGATCCGCCTGGCTCTGCCTCCCAAGTGCTGGGATTAAAGGCGTGCGCCACCACCGCCCGGCTTGACCAGTGAGTTTTATTGGGGTAACTTACAAAAGTGATGGGTTATTTATAGAAGCACAAAGGACTCAATGACAGCTGCATCACCCTGTGCAGGTGATGCCTAATGAAGCTGGAAACCTGGGGATCACTGCACAGCTTGCAGGCAGCTCAAGGGAGGTTGGAAGTGTGTATTTCAAGCCACTCACTGTCTCCTCCAGGCAGCTTGTCTTGTCTGGTCCAGGCAGCTGGACTGTCTGCTCCACGGCTGGTCTGAGCACCTTCTGTGCAGCTCAGCTGTTTGACAGTGTCAGCAGTCCTTACTGATTATATGTGCTTGAGGCAGGACCTCCCTAGTGAATCTTGCCAGTTTGTGCAACTTCAATCTTTTGTCTATTTCTAAGCTTTGGGAGATTCTCTGTTTTACTGATTGTATCACCTCCCATAGAGAATCCGATTCTTTTACCTCTCTGTTAATATCCAGTGTTTTAAGGAGTTTTTTTTTTCCAAGATGGAGGGGTTTAATCTCAGAAAAAACTGATACACAGTAACCACTCCTGAGCATGAACTCTAAGGACTGCCATCTTACCAGTGAGCACTTGCCCATCATATTCATTGCTGCTTTACTGACAGTATCTAGATATGCAATCACCCCAGATGTCCATCAACTGATCATGGGTAAATGAAAATGTGATAGACATCTACAAGTGTCTATTACTTAGCTGTAAATAAAAATCAGAGTGTGAAATCTAAATTTAAATGTAGGCAGCAAGACAATATGATGAGTGCTGCCACTTAGTCCCCAAAGGTCAAACCTGACATGTTCTCTTCCAAATGTGGGTCATAGCTTCAAACTTTGTGTGTATGTATATGTGTGTGTGTGTGTGTGTGTGTGTGCGCGCGCGCTGTGCGCGGCGCGCACACACGTGTGCACACGTGTGCACATGTGTGTTTTACTTTAGTAAGACTACATGTAGAATCCAGGAAGCTATAAATGCATCATTAGTAGGGAGATGCAAGAAGAGAGGATGCCTAGTAGAATATAGGCGATATGAGATTAGAAAGTGGGTATTATGGGGGCAGAATGGTTCAAGTATTTAGTGGAGTGGTGGCAAGAGTGTGGGCTGCTGAAAGGTCAACTCAAGTGAGATGTCCATGAAAAAACTACATGGGAACCTATCATTTTGCAACCGAAGTAAATAATACAATAATAGAGGATGGTAGAACATATGTGCTATAAATGTTAATGTGTGCTAAATGTTTAACTGGGCATGGGGCAGGAAGAAAGGAGGAAGAATGGGTGGGTTAACCAAAAAGATATATGAAGAAGCCTCATGAAATCCCACTGTCTTACAGGTTAATAGTAAACATAATTTTAAAACTTTGAACAGATGTGTTCCACATGGGTAAATAATGCTGCTCCCAGACAACAGGGCTATTAAATGGAACTCTCTGTACAAGGAACTGGTTATCCACCTAGGACTTACTTGGTCAGGAAGGTCCCAGATGCATCCCAAACAAAATAGGTCATTGCCAGTGCTCTTGGTTAGACACCCTAAGTACATGGTGTTGCTGAAGACACCAAACACTTTGGTTGCAAGATAGAGAGCAATCTTGAACTTACCAGGGAACTCTCCTTCCTGGTCACCTCTCATAGGCTGCTGGCAGAGAAATGATATCAATGGTCTTACTTACCCCTGGATCCTACATCTTACAATAGCAACCTACTGGGCAAGATTTGTGCACTTGTGCAATACTGGCATGACTGCTTATGGGCATAACCAACTTCTCTCTTGATAGGTTTTGAGTCCTGCTCCATCGAGAGGAATTCATGCTATGGTCACAAACCAAGGCTTGGGAAGTATAGGTCCAATGGTAGAACTTACTAATGTTTTGTTCAAGATCATGTTGTTCAAGAGTCATCTAAATATTCATGTTTATAATTATCAATTTGTACTACTCTCAACCTTGGTGAAAGAAGACTCCTCTTCAAGTAGATAGACTCATAACTGTTCAGAAAGTACTAAGAACAGATGACTGCGTAAGATCGGGGCAATTACCATTTCTTCATGGCTCAGCGTGGGTCCTATGAGTCTCCTTTATCTTCGAGGGTCTACTAGCAGTTAACGGAAGCTATATAATTTTTTTAACAGTGTGGAATAAATATACATATTTCTTCAGTAGTTCAAAATGAATTTCTGCATGTCCTCAGGGATTTTTTTTTTTAAGATGTTTTTTCTAAATGGGGTTTCTCTGTATAGCTCTGGCTGTCTTAGAATTTGCACTGTGGACCAGGCTGAACTCACAGAGATCCACCAAGCCCAAAGCCCTTGTGGATTCTCTTTGTGATATGCCTGTGTTGTCATGTGTACAGTTTATCTCTTTACCGTTTCTCACCTTCTTGATATTTTAAGGTTTGACTCTAGATTTTCAAAGAAAACAAAAGATGAGACTCTATTAGAGCATTTTCTTGTGTTTTGTTTCATATTGAATTTGCCTTTATATTGGTAATTTCAGCATTAGGTCAAGGATTCGTCAATTTCAATGCATTTGGTTCATGTGATTTCCAACGAACAGCAAGACATGGAGATTATATATGGTATACCTTTCTATGCTTTCTCTGAAGCACACATTTTGTGATGAACAGTACAATCAGAGGTCTTTGTCACATTGTTTTATGTTACTACATTTTGTCCTTATTTATTTGTTTTATTTATTTATTTGTTTATTTATTTAAAGACGTGGTCTATGCACTCCTGGCAGTCCTGGAACTCACTATGTGGCCCAGGATGACCCCAGACTAACTAAGTGCTAGGATTAAAGGCATGCACTACCTAGCCTGGCATTATTATGAATTCTTGAATGCTGAACAAGATAAACTGTTTTTTTTTTTTAAAGATTTATTTATTTATTATGTACAGTGTTCTGTCTGCATGTATGCCTGCAGGCCAGAAGAGGGTGCCATATCTCATTACAGATGGTTGTAAGCCACCATGTGGTTGCTGGGAATTGAACTCAGGACCTCTGGAAGAGCAGCCAATGCTCTTAACCACTGAGCCATCTCTCCAGTCCCTTGGTCAGCATTTTTTTTTTAAGATTTATTTATTTATTATGTATACAATATTCTGCCTGCATGTGTCCCTGCAGGTCAGAAGAGAGCACCAGATCTCATTATAGATGGTTGTAAGCCACCATGTGGTTGCTGGAATTGAACTCAGGACCTCTGGGAGAGCAGTCAGTGCTCTTAACTGCTGAACCATCTCTCCAGCCCTGATAAACTGTTTTCAGGTTGTTTGTTTTTGAGGATGGGATTTCATTATGTAGTAGCCTTGGCTGTCCTGTAACTAGCTATGTAGACTAGGATGGCCTCAAACTCACATGTATCCACCTGCCTCTGCCTCCCCAATGCTGGGATTAAAGCCACCACCTGGCTAAGAGAAATGATTTTATTACACCTTTCCCAGTGGCTGGATAAATGGGACTGCTCTTCCAGAGGACTGGAGCTCAATTCACAACACACACATAGGCGCTTACAGCTGTCTGGAATTCCAGCTTCAGAGACTCTTATGCCCTCTTGTGGCCCCCACACGGAACAGGCATACATTTAGTACACAGAAACACCTGCAAACAAAGCACCCATACACATTTACCAAAAAATTCACATAGCTACTATTGCAGATTTTTATTTAATATAAATTCTGTGATATTTTCTGAGATTTAAAACTTCATTAAGGGCTTTCACAAGTTTCTTTATGCTTCCATTATGTATACTGTTGGGATTTATAAGCAGAGAATACCAAAAAAAAATGCTATGTCATATTATTTACAATGTTATTTTTCTCTCCAGTGTGAACTCTCTGATGTCTTCTAAGATTTGAAAGGTGGATATAGGACATGTCACAGTCTTTGCATTTGTGAAGTTTCTCTCCAGTATGAATTTTCTGATGTGCTCTGAGATAGGAGCACCTTGTAAAAGATTTGTCACATTCCTTACAACTGTAAGGTCTCTCTCCAGTGTGAACCCTCTGATGTGTTCTAAGATTTGACTTGTGGGTAAAGGATTTGTCACACTGCAGACATTTGTAAGGTCTCTCTCCAGTATGAAGTTTCTGATGTCTTCTAAGATTTGAAACCTGATTAAAGGATTTGTCACAATCTTTGCATTTGTAAGGTTTCTCTCCAGTATGAATTTTCTGATGTATTTTAAGACTAGAAATCCGGAGAAAGGACATATCACAGTCTTTGCATTTGTAGAGTTTTTCTCCAGTATGAATTTTCTGATGTGCTCTAAGATATGTGCATGTAGTAAAAGATTTGTCACATTCCTTACAACTGTAAGGTCTCTCTCCAGTATGAATTCTCTGATGTCTTCTCAGATGTGAGTTATGGGTAAAGGATTTGTCACATTCCCTACATTTGTAAAGTTTCTCTCCAGTATGAATTTTCTGATGTGCTCTAAGTGTTGAGCTCGTAGTTAAAGATTTGCCACATTCCTTACATATGTAAGGTCTCTCTCCAGTATGAACTCTATGATGTGTTCTAAGATTTGATTGCTGGATGAAGGATTTGTCACATACTCCACATTTATAAGGTTTCTCTCCAGTATGAATTTTCTGATGTTCTCTAAGAGTTGAGCACTCAGGAAAAGACTTATCACATTCCTTACATTTGTAAGGTCTCTCTCCAGTATGAACACTCTGATGTCTTCTAAGATGTGAGCACTTGGTAAAAGATTTGTCACATTTCACACATTTGTAAGGTTTCTCCCCAGTATGAATTTTTTGATGTGTTTTAAGAGTTGAGTTCACAGTAAAGGATTTGTCACAGACCTCACATTTGTAAGGTTTCTCACCAGTGTGGATCCTGTAATGCCTTTTAAGATGTGATAATTCAAGGAAGGACTTACCACATTCTTTGCATTTGTAAAAAATTTCTAGAGAATGAGTTTTCTGATGCCATCTAAGTGATGAGTAGTGCGTAAAGGATCTGTCACACTCATTGCATTTGTAAGGTTTCTCTCCACTATGGAGTCTATAATGTCTTCTAAAGTGTGAAAGCTGATGAAAGACCTTGCCACATTCTTGGCAACTACAATGTTCCTCAGCAGTATGGATTTTCTGATGTGTCCTGAAACTGGAATGGTGGGCAAAGGATTTGTTACATTCTTTACATTTGTAAGGCTTCTCTCCAGTATGGATTTTCTGATGGCTTTTAAGAGCTGAGGACTGTCGAAATGACTTTCCACAATCTTTGCATTTGTAAGGTTTCTCCCCAGTATGAAGTCTTTGATGTATTCTAAGATTTGCACACTGGTTATAGGATTTGCCACAGAGGCTGCACTTGTAGGGTTTCTTTCCAGTATGAATTCTCTGATGTACAATTAGGCGTGAGGTGGTACTGAAACATTTCCTGCATTTACCACACTGGTATGGTTTCTCTCCAATGTAAATTGGTTGTTGCAAAAGACTATATGCAGAGGCAAAATAGTCATCATATTCTCCCTGCCTGTGCTCTTTCTTTGCAGTGTAGAGTCTCTGATCTTGAGTAATGTTGGAACAGAAATATAAGGATTTCTCCCAGTCTTTAGATTTGCAAGGTTCTTCTCCAGTGTGCATGCTTTCATATCTGTCTGGGTTTGATGAGTCAAAACAGGCATCCCTGTGATTACTGCATGTGTAGTTATTAGAGTTTTCTGTAGTTTCACTTGTTCTATAAAGTGCACATTTGGAGGACTGATGAACCATTTTGCCAAGTTCATTACACTGACAAGACTCCTTTTCAGTCTTCACATGTTGATGGACAGGATCACATTTGCAATAGTTCTCTGAAAATGGGTACAGTTCAGATTAATAGGACTTGTTGCAATAAAAACTTAGGATAAATGAATGTCTCTCTAAGTTCTCTCTTAAGTCAACCAGCAACTACCTAGATATTTTTCTTTCACTGTATTTCAATATATTCTCACAAAAACAGCCTGACAGCCTTCAAGGGTCTGTGATATGACAGATATCTCATCCTTATTGAAAATGTCTAATGGCACAAGATGGGTCAGGAAATTGAAGAATTAGCAATTAGCTTTGGGATGGAGCTCACTGACTGATTATATTGAGAATACATGTCTCTATGTTTAAATATTTCTTCTCAGAAATTGATGAAGAGGAGTTTAATCCAATCCCAGGTTCACAATATTTGTACATGCTAAGTGATAGGCAATGAGGAGTACTATACAGAAGACCTAATTCCTTTAAAGATTAAAGTCTTACTTAAAAACACATCACGGTTTATTTTTCTCCAGAAAAACCCATTAGATCTTTGAAAGTAATGGATGCAAACCAAGTATTCTGCCAGACACCAGAGGCTCTAGATTGTTTGAGGCAGGGCTGTCATGGGCAGCTATTGCTTATTTCTATCCTCCACTGTCTGAGATCCACACACTGCTGTGTTTCTTAACTTTCCTCATAGGGTTATTCTCAAGTCCACTCTGTACCTGGACTCCTGAGATTATTTCCCAGAAGGGTGTCTGTGTGTTTTCCACTGGGAAAAAATTAAGGATGTAATATGAAGATACATATACAAGGAAGGCATGGGTGAGAAATCATGAGTTTTGCAGCTAAATGGATGGACCTAGAAATGATCATATGAGTGAGGTAACCCAGACACAGAAAGACAGACAATGCATTCATTATCTCTCTCATAGGAAGTTCCTATCTCCAAATGTTCAGATGTGAGTCCACAACCTGGAGTAACTGCAGTAACCAGAAAAGTAAAAAGAAAGTATTGTGTTATGTGGGTGAGTCAGTTTATAAAATAATCATACTTCATGGACTCATGTTGGACTTAACATTTGTAAAATTATTCCAATCTGATGTCAGCATAGTCAAATAAATTTGCATTTTGTACTAGTATTGTCATCATAATTCAGGTGCATAAGACACAACGTGTTCTAACAGTTACAACAGACAGGATGCTTCCTGGGGCCAGGACACTACCCTAAGTTAAATGATCAAGAATCCTTTCAAGTGGAACCGAATATCACAAGAACATTCTCAGCTCTTGCTTTCTCTTTCACTTGAAGCTGTCACTGTTGTCCTGCTTATTCACGAGCCCACCTTGGCTGTGGCTACTCTCTCCTCTCCACATTCCAGGGCAATCTCATTTGCTCTGGACAGATGACCAGGCAAACCTTGCACACAATAATCCATGTGTTCTCTGAGGTAGCCCATGACACAAGCTAGAATTTTTAGAAAGAAGATCTGTCTTCTTTCTAACACAGTACTGGGCTCAGTACATGAAGAGAACCCAAAGTAGAGGAATGATTTCCCAACTGCTATTTCCTGTCGAATCTTCAGCATATATAGGAAGAATTTTCATTTTGCACATTTTGAGTATTTTTCACAATTAAAACCATGTCAAGTACAGCTGTGGACATGGAGCTCTAATATATGGGTGTAAACATTATAGGATACTAAGTTTATGAGTGCATTGTGGAACCAAAATGAGGGGTGCATGATACCTCTGACATAGAAAGTGTTAATAAAAAATTAAATTCCATGAAAAAGTTCTTTTCTACTAACAAACTTTCCGGAGTCTCCTGCTGTTTCTAAGACAGCTTAACAGAGAGTTTACAATCTTAATGCCAGTACATACAAAGGATTAGTTAGGAATTCTACAAGCAAAATGTTCTTACCCACAGAGACCAGGTTGCTGTAATTCTCCAACATCACGTCAATGTACAAAGCCCTCTGAGCAGAGTCCAGGCATTCCCACTCCTCCTGGGGGAAGTCCACAGTCACATCCCTGAATGTCAACAGACCCTAAAACAAAAAAGTACAGTTTGATTATGTGGTACAGGACAGAGTGCTTTCCCGGAGAGATGTAGATGAGTGAAGATAATTACTAAAAAAAAAAAAAAAAGATTTCTAATATAGTCATATTGTATAATGGATTTTTCAACTCTGTGAAAACAGACTGACACAATAGTCTTACAAGCATATACACAAAACAACAGACATTTACGGTCTGGACACAGTTATCTATCTGTTATGGATGCAATGTTTATGTTACAGAGGATCACAGCAGACATGTCTCAGAAGGAAAATTCATGATGACGAAATGTGCTTTAAATGCTGTACCTGTAGATCATGCTAAAACACTGACACAAATCAATCCTGTGTGTACTTGGGCCTTACATGACTATTCTAACAGGCTCAGTTGGCATGTTTAAACTCTAGGTACAGTGCCATTCCATAAAGAGAAAGGAGTAGATATGGAAGGTAGAAATCATGACTGGCTTTATAGGCAAAGAATTTTGGCTATAACAATAACAATGAGTATAAGAGCATTTCATACTGTCAGGTAATGGACACCAGTTATAAAAAAGGATATAAAGCTAAGTGCTGCCGGGCGGTGGTGGCGCACGCCTTTAATCCCAGCACTTGGGAGGCAGAGGCAGGCGGATCTCTGTGAGTTCGAGGCCAGTCTGGTCTCCAAAGTGAGTTCCAGGAAAGGCGCAAAGCTACACTGAGAAACCCTGTCTCGAAAAAACAAAAAACAAAAAACCAAAAACCAAACAAACAAACAAAAAAAAGCTAAGTGCTTTTCTAGTTCTAATTCTGTCAAAGGTTTTTTTCTTTTTTGTGGCAGATAAGTTCATAAAAATATATTTAATAGCAAAAATATAAATATAAAATCCCATGTGAGGCTCCAGAGCTTCTGTTCCCAATGACTACTCTTACTGTTGAGAGGGCTGGAGAGATGGCTCAGAGGTTAGGAGCACTGGCTGCTCATCCAGAGGACCCAGGTTCAATTTCTAGCACCCACATGGCAACTCACAACTGTAACTCCTGTTTCAAGAGATATAACACCTTCACACCAATGCACATAAAGTTAAATTAATTATTTTTAAAAAAGTACCTTGAGTTGTATAGTCTTTAGGTCTGGTTAATTTCAGTGTGTGATTTTGTTTTTGTTGTTTAAACACTTTTCATAATAACATTAAAAAAATTATGAGAAGCAGAAAATTAAAGGCTATAAATGTCTGAATATATAACATTTCTACAAAAAGAGTGGACATGACCACTGACCTGGGACATGCTTACTGGAGAATCAGCCATTTCTTTCTGTTTCTCTTCTTTGAGTTTTTCTTTCAGGAACAATGAATAGATGGCTTGCTGCTCTTTCATATAAAGGGTCAAAAAGAAAAAGCAAAAGTTAATACTGAAAGCTTACAGAATGATGTCAAACCATATGAAAAGACCCAAGCAATAGAATACACCAGGTGTCTGGTCAATGATCCCAAAGCCAGAAGAGTATGGAACAACATTTGAAGCTTGGAGAAAAAAAAATCACTATCAACCATATTGTTACATCTATATTAGAACTGATGAAGACGTAAGTGTAGTTCAAGATATTTATGGAGCAAGACAATTCATTTCAACAAAGCAGGACAGCAGACAATATATCAAAGGCAAATACAGGAAAATCAGAGGAATTATCCATGAGAACATGGGAAATAATAAATTTCATGTAAGGAATAGATAAATATAGGAAAACTGGGAAGTAATCATCCATAGGCAAGACAGCAAAGCAATAATTCTCACAGAGAAGGAAGAGGAATATTCCCAATAATCCAACTAGCAGTAACATCAAAAGCAAAAACACAGGGAGTAAGAACTCCATCAGAAAATATCTAACCACTCTCAAAATCAATATAGAAAATCCTCAACTAAATAAATAAATCCTCAAGTTAATATAGCACATGACCCACTGCTCCACTCCTTGGCACATGCTGAATGAATTCAACATCCCGCTTCACAGATACTTGCTCAGCCATGTTCACTGCTGCTCTACTCACAATAGCTACAAAAGGGAAACGACCTATATGTCCCTAACTGACAGATGGATAATGAAAAAGGGGTTCATATACACTATGCAATATTATTCACCTGCAAAGAACATTGAAATCACGAGTTTTGCAGCTAAATGGATGGACCTCGAAAAGATCATATGAGTGAGGTAACCCAGACCCAGAAAGACAGACAATGCATTCATGATCTCTCTCATAGGAAGTTCCTATCTCCAAATGTTCAGATGTGAGTCCACAACCTGGAGTAACTGCAGTAACCAGAAAAGCAAGAAGAGAGTATTGTGGAGTGTGGGTGAGTAATAGAGACAGGAGTAATACAGAACAAGAGATCTGAAGGGAGAAATGGAAATACAGGGAGGGATTTAATTATGGAGAAGGGACAGATATAAACACAGAAGAAGGAGGGTAAGGATTTCTAAGCAGTCATCAGGAATCCAACTATTCCTTAAATATTATCCATCTAGGAAAAATGCCTACAATACATATAAGTCTGACTATGCATATATATTTAGAGTATAATTGAAAATTTCCCATCTGGCCTGATAATGCTCCCCACAAGAGCCACGGATTTTCTAACAAAATGACCAACACCAGTGTAAGAAGCCTGTTTTGAAGTTGTTGGTCACAGCTGTCCAAGAGACTCTCAAAGCATTTTAGGCTATTGCTGTTATCCATGGTTGCCTCCTAGAGGTAGATGGTGTATATCATCAGTTCAAACCTCATGACATTTAAACATCCCACAATAACCTTCACAGAAATAGTACAGAGAAACCTAGAATTTATAGTGACATAAATTCCCTGGGTACAGAGCAGCCCCAGGAAAATGTTACAATGCTCAAGCTATCCCAGTATGATTCCAGATCAGAGCAACGAAATACAGCAACAGATCCAGAACATGCCCAATAGCAATATCCAGGTGAACGTCACCAAAATACCACAAACATGTGTTGCAGACTAGATACCCTCTTCAAATGGTGGCACTGGGAAAAGTATACCAATATAAAAACATGAACCTGGGTTCAAATCTCTCCTACCATATAATGAATCATCAACCTTCATATATGATCTGAAATAGTGAATCCTGCAGAGTAATATAAAGGGAAACACTTGAAACAAGAGCAGAACCAGGCAAATAGTACTGGGTAAAATAAGAAACATCCAGGTAAATGGTAATAATTAAAAGTATGAAGAGACAGTCTATATAGCTATCTATTTATACTACAATGGATAATACAGAACCTATCAAAAATACAAAGGAAGCAAATGATAATATAATCGATAAATAAGCAAATGGATCGAACAGACTGTGTGCAACAGCAGTTTTAAGGGCCAATATGTACATATTTAAAAGCTCTACTGTGGTGATATTTTATTTGTGATCTAACAAATAAAGCTTGCCTGAAGATCAGAGTGCAGAGTTAAGCCACTAGTTAGCCATAGAGGCCAGGCAGTGGTGGCACACACCTTTAATCCCAGCACTTGGGATCTCATGCCTTTGCTCCCAGTACTTGGGAGGCACACAAGCCTTTAATCCCAGCACTAGCGAGGTTGAGACAGGAAGCTGTATGGCTGGGCAGAGAAAAGGAATATAAGGCGGGAGGAGAAAGAAGCTCCTACTCCCTTTCAGGCTCAGGATTGAGCAGAGGGAAGAAGTCTTTCTAGTGGCTGGCTGTTCTGCTTCTCTGATCTTTCAGCTTTCACCCTGATATCTGACTCTGTTTTTATTAGGACCAATTAGGATTCTTGCTATTCTCTACAGTGTAGATCATAAGATAATATCAATTTAATATACAGAGATTCTAACTCTGCCTAGTCAGTGTTCACACTCAAGTCCCTAAACAATAACTAATGCATTTTTTCCAGTAATTTCTTGAAATGTAAATAGACAGTATTACACAAGTAAAAGATATAAACAAACCATAGAATTCAAGAAAACTGACAGCTGATATTAAAATATGTTTCTATGAAAAAAATTACTGCACATCTAAAAATACAAAATACTGAGAAAGAAGGAATTTTTTTAAATGCTGTGACTATGGAGTGCAGTAAAGAGATTGATGATCATAATTAGAATAGTGACAGAAAAATCAAAACAAAAATATCAAAGTACAAAATAAAGAGTAATAACAAAGGATAAAATGGTCTATTAAGAAAACTCCTTGATCAACATGGGTGCATGTCACAAAACTCAGAACACAGACATCCATAGTGGACAGAAAACAGAAGAATATACAAAACAGGTGAAAAGTGGCACATTGCTTCATGTTCTTATCAAACACAAGAAGACAACCTCGAAGGAAGATGGTCTTCTCTAAGACTCCAAGCAATTCTTACCACAATCCTATTTGCATGTTTTACAGAAAGTAATCCTGAAAGTACCAAGGAACAGCAAAGAGATGGAAAATACGAAGAGGATCAAACCTAGAGGTGATCTCACAGTGTGTTACAATTACAGCAGTGGAAACCGCTTGGAATTGTCATGACCATAGACAACAGGAGATATCCATGGGAAGACATCAAGGAAGGAGTTTAACAGTCTGTAAATATAGTTCCTGACTTTTTATAAAACTATATTGGCATTATTTTCAGAAATGGAGACATTAACAGTAAAAGGTACAGAATGTGCTAGAATTTCAAAAGCTACAAGATTATGAAAACAATAAATAAACCTAAAGATATTAATTTTGATTATTTTATAATACACTAAAATCATAAAAATTAAAATCAATGAATATTGTTATGAAGACGTGGTCAGTGATGTGAATAAGGACAGCATCACTCACAAACATACTCAAATACAATTTTACTTGCCCTCTAGTATCAATGCTTCTGTAGAACCTGTTTTCATACCTACAGCAAGATATCTTTCTCAGTGGAAGTCTCCAGAATTATTTTTAGTGAAACAGAATGTGGCAAAACTGATTTCATGTCCCACTTCCACATTCACTTGATCCCCTTTCCACGCCTTCACCAATGTCTCCACCATACCTGGACCCTTAGCTACTGTCTCCTCTCTCCTTCCAGGCCACTTTGTTCTGTTCCACAGGTGAGCAAGTCTGGGTGATCAATGAGCCCTGCACATGGGAAAGAGATTGTTCAGGAAGCACCTGGATTTCTTACACAGTATTGTGCTCAGTAAAGAGAAGAAAAAAAATACAGGATTATGCAAGTAATTCCTCAATTGTCATGCAGGGTCAGAATACTGAAAATATTTAGAAAGCATTTTCAGTTAGTAGTGTAACTTGAATGCCACTTCCAATCACAGCTCAGTCAAATCTCAGGGACAGAAATGGAACTGAATGATTGGGATGAGAATATCATACACTACTGACACTCTGAATTTATAACAGACCCAATATGATAGAAGCCTTACACCTCTCAAACGGACAGACACTTGCAGAGTAATCTGCCAAGAAACCCTGAAGAGGAGCAAGGGAGAGTGCAGGCAAACTGTTCTCACCCACAGAAACCAGACTGCTGCAATTCTGCAACATCCAGTCTCTGTACAAAGCCCTCTGAGCAGGGTCCGGGCATTGCCCCTCCTCCTGGAAGAAGTCCACAGTCACACCACTGGCTGTCCACAGACCACAAAATGAAACATGGCAGTTTGAACACTGGGGAGACAGATGTGGGTGGAACCGGGTAAGTTCGAGTCCAGCCTGGACTACAAAGTGAGTTTTGATCCAGAGAGAGCAACACAATGAATTCAGGACTCAAACATAGCAAACACAAGAACCAAAAAATAACAGTTTGGTCATGTGTCCATGGACAGAGTGCTTTTCTTTAACCAAGAAGAGAAAAGATTCCTCTAGACATTTTTTCTGATGTAGATAAGTTATTGTAATTATTCAAAAGTTGCTTTCTAACATTATCCTATACTATAATACCTTTCCATTTCTTTTTACTTTTTTTTCTTCCTGAGACAGAGTTTCACTGCGTAGATCCAGCTCTCCTTAAACTCGCTCTGTAGGCCAGGCTGCCAAGGAACTCCCAGATCCACCTGCCTCTGCCTCCCAAATGCTGGGATTAAAGGAGTGTGCCACCACCACCATGTGGCTTATAACGACTTTTCTAACTGTGAAAATACTGTGACCTAATACGGCAAGAAAGTATACTGTGCTTTTCCAGGCTCTAAGTTGCACATTAACAACTCAGCACAAAAATACATACACATTGCTGTTTCCTTTTCTTTCTTTTTTTGAGACAGGGTCTCACCATGAAGCTCTGGCTCTCCTGGAACTTGTTAGGTAGACCAGGCTGGCCTCTAACACACTGAGGTCCACCTGCCTCTGCCTCCCCAGTGGTGGGATTAAAGGTGTGCGCCACCAAGCCTGTCAAAGACACTTTTCAAAATGCTCTGTTGACATCACAAAGTGTATACGTGTCAGATGAAAATTTCATGGCAGACAAAAAGTTTACTTTTAAATGTTAATGTTTACAACCATATCTATGGAACTCGCAAAAATATAATTTTGAATGCAATTTAATTTGCAGGCGTTCATTTCATGACAAATATCTAAAAGCTCTCTGAGAGTGCCAAGTCCCTAGTTCTGTGTGCCATTCTCCTGAACAGCGAAGTGGTTTAACACGATAGCTGGCGTGGATGAACGCAAAATTGTCTTTTCCACCATGCAAAAAGAGAACCGTGTTTACAAATATCAACACATAAATTCAGATATTCTAGTGGGTTGTTTTTCTTAGAATATTTTGGCAATCAGAAGATCAATGAAAAAACCATCAGGATTGTTCCAGTTAACATTATCTGAAATTTATCGCCAAGGGAAACACCCACAGCAGAATTTCGGAGCCTTATGAACAGCAGAGAAACTGCTCGCACCCCGGTCCCTCCCCTCCCGTGTCCCAGCCCCGCAGCTCCTCTGACCTGGGAGGTTCCAGGGCCGCCGGGCTGCGGTTCCCGCCACTGCGCTGCTGACTGGTGACTTTCCCAGGCCGCCCCGCGCGGCGACTGCGGCTCCGGGGAGTTTTAGGTCCCCGCGACACCCCGCCGGGTCCTCCGCACCCAGGTCTGCACCACGCGGTTCCCCACCGTGCAGGATCTGGTGCAACGACAGGGAGACGGCAATTGCCACTTCTGGCTTTGGCTCTTCTGCCCACTTCCTAGTCCTCTCTCACTAGGTTTCACAGCTTCCGTTTTCGTCACTCCTCTAAATCCTCCCACTTCCACCCACCTAAGATCCAACACCCTCCCAATTGCTCTTTCCGGGTGAATATCCCCGTCCCACTGAACCTTCCCTCCCACTCGGTCTCAGGCTGCCTTCCACACAGCTCCAGCTGTCAGGCTGCCCTGGACCCGCTCTGCACAGCCTCCCCACATGCTCGCTGCCAGCCTAGACCAGAACTGGATCTAGGAGGACGCTGCACCCTGGTATGTGAGCCCCACAGTGAGTCTGAACCCTTCGGATAAAAGACAGGCAGCCAAATCTCAACTTGACTACCAGCCTCCTGGTCTACATACTTAGACCAAAGGATAACAGGGTAAATTCAGATGCCAGCGTCCTATCGCTGACACAAACATGACAAGTCAAAACCAAATACTGCAGTTGTGACTTGGGGAGGGACATTTCAGGAACTTGGGTTTTGAAAAGACAAAGGATTCTCCAGAAGTCAGTGGGCACTCTATTACTAACAGCCCAGGGCAGAGTTCGTTTTGCGCTGCACTTCTTTCGCCACTAGATGGTGGTCTCGTCATTTTACTAACTCAGAAACGAGTTAGTCCTCTGTGACTCACGCTAAAGGTGGTTTTTAGATAAAATATAGAATTTTTTTTTTAATGCGATGGTGAATGCAGAGACTCTTGCTGTCCCAGATGCAGAAAATAAGGGAGGTATGTGGTCTCAGGTCGAAAAAGCTCAGTTACCTCCCATCTATGTGTCTGGGAACACTGAGGAAGAGGAGGAGGAGAGGGAGTAAGAAGGGAAAGAGGAGGAAGGGCTAAGACATGCCGTTCTCTAGACTCCACACAGCTGTGGTAATCAGTAACCAACAGCAACTGTACTGACCTGCATGGACCTCACACTAGACCACAATCAGTCTAGGAAAGGAAAAGGCTCACAGGACCCACCCTTTACCTCTCACATGTTGGTAATGTTGCATTGTAGAAGAATCACTGCCTTTAGCTGCAGTCCTCTGCTGAGCCCACCAGGCTCCAACACATAGCTCCAAACCCACAGTCTCACAGATGGCTCTGGTCAGTCTCAGTGGTTTCCAAGCAAAACGAACAGAGAAGAACATAATAGAGAAATTTGTTGGAATTGTGGACCACGATAGTAGAGAGGTAGGAGAGAGAGTGGGCAGTATTTGAGCTGCATGCACAAACACACACGGACTCTCTCTCTCTCTCTCTCTCTCTCTCTCTCTCTCTCTCTCTCTCTCTCTCTCTCTCTCTCTCTCTCTCTCTCTCTCTCTCTCTGTATCTGTGTGAGTGTGAAACAGCTAATAATAGAGTTTTGTTTTGTTTTGTTTTGTTTTTTTGCAATAGAGTTTTTCTGTGTAACTGAGTCAGTCTTGGACCCAGCTTTTTTAAAGAGTAAACCAGGCTGGTCTTGAAGTTCCAGGGATCAGCCAGCCTCTTCCTCAGGAGTGGTGGAATTAAAGGCATTTGCCATCCTTCCGAGCTCAAAAAATTTTTGAATGCATCAATCTGTAGTTTCTTTTTTGGTTGTATTATTATCTGATGGTTATATATATATATATATATATATATATATATATATATATATATATATATATATATATATATATATATATATTTCCCTAGCTTTTATTCCCCCAAGACAGGGTTTCTCTGTGTAACAGCCCTGGCTTGTCTGGAACTCACTTTGAAGACCAGGCTGGCCTCAAACTCACTGAGATCCACCTACCTCTTCCTCTAGAACGTGGTGTGTGCTACCATGCTCAGCTCATTGTCTGATGTAACCTCAGGTAATACTAAGAGTCAGGAAGTCTTCCTTTTTTTGTGTCAAGAAGTATTTTAAGTATCAGCTTTGCTGTTAGTCTTTTTTCTGGAGTTCTGACAGAATCCTGTCATTCTGGTCATGGGGTTGTTTTAAGGATGGCATTTTACACCTGCTTTAGTTTTATTGCTACTTATAGCTCTGTTTACCTTATTTATTTCATGTTGTTTAAATTTGGTATGTTATATTCACCTGGTATGTTATATTCATCTATTTCAATTAGCATTCTAATTTAGTATAACTGATGTCTTTAATGTCAGTTAACAAGAGATCCACTTGATCACTCATTTCTACCATGTAGGCTGTGCAGTTACCTTGGGTAATTAATTGTCAAGACACGATAACAGGCCAGGTGGTAGCAGCACACACCTTTAATCCCAGCACTCAGTAGGTAGAGGCAAGCAGATCTCTGTGAGTTCAAGGCCAGCCTGGTCTACAGAGTGAGATCCAGGTCAGCAAAGGCTACACAGCAAAATCCTGTCTCCAAAGAACAAACAAACAAACAAACAAAAAGACTGATAATGAAAAGTTATTATGTATAGTTGGCCAATGTCAGGCAAGCCTTTTAACCCAGCATTCAAGAGGCATGGGCAAGGGGAACTCTACATAGTGAGTCTCAGACAGCTGGAAATACAGAGACCTTGTCTCAAAATAAATTAAATTGCTCCCTGAGGAATTGCTTTCATGATACCAGAAGTACCATGCAAGCTTCCAAAGGTGGGAGCCAACCAACAGTCCCAGCCAGCTATGATGCCTATGAACCACATCAACTGTCATCTTGAAACAGTACCCTAAGAATGCAGTAGTGGCAAGCATACCTTGGTGTTAACCAACATTTGTTTCATTAGACTTAAGATCCTCTTAACAAAGGAGAAATCATGAGTGGTACTGGAAATCTAGCTACTTACAGGTGCTGGTGAAGACTTGGATCTTGGAGGATAAGAAACAACCACCACTTTACTAAAGCACCACAATCTGTCCTTATACCCACAGGTAAGCTTAGTTTTCATTCCTCATCAAGGCAATATCTCTTTTCAACAGAGACCACAGAAAAAATCCAGAAATAATGAAAATGCAGAGTTGTGGAACCCAGGCCCACAGGGTACCTCTGTAAAACACTCCTGTAACTAAGGTTCAAGCATCATTTTTGAAGTGGGGATATAAAGATTAAAAGAGGCAAAGGACCGAGGAGTTGGCTGTGAGGTGTGTCTCCTAGTGTATTAGTCAGGGTTCTCTACTGTAACAGAACTTATGGAATGAATATATATATATATAAATATATATATATATATATATATTTATATATATATATATATATATATATAATGGGGATTTATTGGAATGACTTACAGGCTGCTTTCCAGTTAATCCAACAATGACTGGTTGTAACAGAAAGTCTAAAAATCCTGTAGTTGCTTAATCCACAATGCTGGATGTCTTGGCTGGTTTTCAGTATATGTTAGAATCCCAAAGAAGTAGACTCCAATGCTGGTGAAGGAATGGATGTGTTAGCAAGAAAATGAGCCAAAAAAACAGGCAATGAGCAAAATGTTTCCTATTTCTATGTCCTTATATAGTCTTCCTGCAGAAGGTGTGGCCCAGCCTCTCTATCCTGATCAAAGGTGTGTGTGTCCTTCGGCCTCAAGATGTGGATTAATGGCACTTGTCTTCCTATGTCCAAGTTCCAGACTAGAAGTGGATTCAGTCCCTTCAAAACAAGCAAAAATAATTTCACAGGTATGACCTTCATTTCTGCATTGTAGTTCATTCCAGATGTAGTCAAGTTGACAACCAAGAATAGCCATCACACCTAGTAACTTTGTCTATAAAAATCTCACCAACAAGGCATCCCAAATGTGAGCTGGACAAAGACAAGAACAATGGGCATGACAAAGTGGATGGGGAAAAGCCCACACGGCCTCAAGCCCACACAGAGAACTACAGACAACTGGGGGATGGTGGGAGCAGGAGAACTAGTCTCCCCCAGGGAAGAGCACACCAACTGGTTATTCAGTACCAAATAGTCAGCCTTGAAAACATGCATGCAAGTAATATATGTGTTGAGTTGTTTATTTACAAATATGTATGTATGCACATAGACATATATGTATGCAATAACATTTAATGAAAAAGATGTCATGAATTTGAAAGTTAGCAGCAAGGGTATATGGGGGGATCTGTCTGGAGGAAAGTGAATGGAGAAATGTTCTAATAATATAACAATTCCAATTAAAAATGTAAAAAAAAGAAAAACAAAAAGAAAGGAAATGAACACAACCACAAACCCCAACTAAAACCAAGAGTAATAAAAAAATGTTATATACCTATCAGGGAAATGCAGACTAGGACTCCCTTAAACTTCCATAATGCCCTCGATACAATGTCAATCATCAGGAATAGAAATGATAACTGATGTTAGCATACATGTGGGGAAAGGAGGTCACACACTGTTGTTGTCAGGAGAACTAGAAATCAACTTTTGAAATCAGTCTAGATATGCCCCCAATAATGAATAAGTGAAAGAAAGAAAACTACAGTGTGACACAAAGCACTGATGTGTAACACTATTCCTATGGAATCAATGACAACATCTACTTATCACAGTTGAGGGACCAGTGACAAACCAAAGCGGGGAACCAACAAAGTCTAAGTTGGTGAACTAATGAGGTTTCTGTTTGTTTTCTTAATTAGAGTTGTTTTGTCTCCATGTATGTCTGTGTTCCTTGTGTTTCCCTGGTGCTCAATGTGGCCAGAGGAGAGCATTGGATGCCCTGGAGTTGAGGTTATAGATTGAGTGCCCGTGTGAGGGTGCTGGTAATTCAAAGTGAGTCTTCTGAAAGAGCACACAGTGCTCTCAACCACTGAGTCATCTCTAAAGTCAAATCGACTAGTGAGTTTTATTGGGCTGAGTTACAAGAGTATGGGTGAGGTGTTACTTATAGTAGCACAAAGGACTCAATGACAGCTGCATCATCCTGTGAGGGTGATGGCTAATGAAGCTGAAAACCTAGGAATCCCTGCACAGCTTGCAGGCAGCTCAAGAGTGACTGGAAGTGTCTTTTAAATCACCCACTACCTCCTCTAGGTAGCTTGTCTATCTTGTCTGTCCCAGTCAGCTTGGCTGTGTCTGCTCCACGGCTGGTCTGAGCTGCTTTTGTGCAGCTCAGCTGGCTGACAGTGTCAGCAGCCCTTACTGATTATGTATGCTTGAGGGAGGAGGGTACTAGCCAATCTTGCCAGTTTCTGTGACTTCCCGAAGCTATTAAGTTGTGTATTTCTGAGCTTTGGGAGCTTCTCTGCAGGATGAAATATTTCACAAGAGTGACAATCAGCTCTTGTATCAGGACCCCTTTGGGGTCTCATATCAGACATCTGGCATATTAGATAGTAGATATTATGTTGTGATTCATAATAGTAGCAAAATTACAGTTACGATGTAGGAACTAAAATAATTTTAGAATATAATAGAACACATATTGTTGTTGGTTCTGAGAGTCTGAAACTACATAAGCAGGTACAAGAGTCCACATAAAGCAAGTTTTGAACTGAGCAGCAAAAACTGACTGGTCAGGGACAACAGTACAGACCCTGGAGCTGACTGTGTCCCTGAACGTTCATTCATCAAGTATTTAATCACAAAACCACAGCATCTGTGCCAAATTATAATTAAATTTACACCCATCAGGATGTAGAATTTAGTGGCTTTTCCTATGTGTTCCATCACGGTCAGCTGTGGCGATATTTTGCTTGTGCTCTAACAAAGAAAGCTTGCCTGAAGATCAGAGGGTGGAGCTAGCCATTAGCTAACCATAGACGTATGGAGGTCTGTGCAGACAGGAGACAAGAAGTGATATGGCTGGTCTGAGAGAGGAATATAAGGCAGGTGGAGACAGGAGCTCAGCCCCGTTTTCAGTCGGAGAAGTCGTGGAGTTAAGAGGTGACTTTGGCTAGCTCCATTACTTCTCTGATTGTTCAGCATTTACCCATATATCTGACTCCAGGTTTTTATTATTAAGAACAATTAGAACTCATGCTATATCTGCGTCCAGCTTTTGGGGCACGAATTCATGGAAAAGCCGCTTGCCCGTGGCTTGCAGCCACTGGTACAAGTCGGAGCTGCACTCAACCAGTCACTACCTCCCTGCTAGCTTTTCCTTTCTTTCCAAAAGCTCCCTGAGTAAGTTTGGGGATTTTCTGTTGCAGCCTCTCGACAGCAAACTCCACAGGTATTTGGGCTCCAAACACTGTTGGAGTTAGCCCCTCATAACCAGCTATCTATGCTTTTAGGCACCTTCCTCCTCACTGTTCTTCCTGAAGATGATCCATTGTGTGCATTTTTCAGATGGTGTGTTCCCTCTGCCAGTGGGTTGGAGGCTTTCTCTGGACCCCCTCCTCAAGCTGCTGCCAAACTAGGTAGCTGCCTTGAAATCCTGCTCAGGCTTCTAATGTTCTACGAAGAAGCAGTCAGCCTCACATCTTCACCATCATTGTCTCCAGATTTGGTAAAAACAATTGGGAATTCTTAAAGGGGGGAATTAGTTAAAAGAGAGTTTTTCCCACATTAAAAAATGGGAAAAACTATTACAATGGAGGGAGTTAGGTCTCGGTACAATATACTGGAGAGTTTGAAATGGAACAATTAAATAAGATGATGATTAATTTAGATGGGATTTATGTAATGTCTATTATAAACATTACTGGCTTTATCATTTTTGTTTTATCACTAAAAAGTTGGTTAATATGAATGCTAAGATAAAAGTTTTAGAAAAACTTATTAAAGCAGATCATAGAGATATTCAGATCCAGACAGACAAATTTAAAGGAGAACCAATCTCAGCATTGGATTATAAGGTTAGAGAGGAACAGCCTAAGGTTTTCAAACAACCAACTTTAGTTTATCCAGTAACCTCACAGGAACTGCCAAATTATAGATATCTCCAAGGCTGTGTAAGAGCTGAATGGACTCCTGTGGAAATGTTAGATTTGAGTGAAAGACCCTAACCCTTCAGGTTCACACCCTCCCCCCCCCAAGCCCCAGGAAAATGAGGAACTAAAAGGGCAAACTGACTCAGCCATTACCCAACCACCCCTGCCACAATGTAACAATGTAAAGAGATTTCTATTAAGAGATGCGCTCAACTGTGACTGGGATAATTGCAAGTGTTCCAGGAAAGACCACTGTAACCTTTGTGTAACTCTCACTCCCACCCTGATACCCCCCTTGAGGTCTCGGGAAGAATGTGCATGTAGACGTGACTGTACCTACCCTGTGATCAGGCCATGATCTTGTGAAATTAGCCTCTAGACATAAATCAATTGAAACGAAATTGTATGGGAATTGTAATCTTGTGGCTTTTGTGGGTTTTTCCTTTAAAAGTACCTATGTGGCTGCAGTAGGATGCGACTCTTGCTCTCAGGACAGGAGTAGTCCGACTGTACAGCTGCTTCAATAAACCTCTTGCTGTTTGCATCAATTGGACCAGAGTCTGGGTTCTTGGGGCGCCCACTCGAGAAGGTAGTACCCTGGGTCTGGGGTCTATCATGAGGAGATTCAAAGAAATGATAGTCTCATATGGCATGCATTCACCCTTTGTGAAGCAGGTGTTAAACTCCTGGCCATCTTGTAATAGAACTATCCCTCAAGACTGGAGAGACTTGGTTACAGCAGCCTTGGAGCCTGATACTCAATTACAGTGGAGGACCTGATGGAAAGATGAGACTAAGACCATTGAACAATGAAGTAGGTCTAGAGGTATGGAAATCTCCCATGAACAACTTCTTGGAGAGGGAGGTTATGCTAATGTACAAAGTCAATCCCTATATGATGACCACACTCTGGCTTTATGGCACACAGTGGCCTTGAATGCTTGGGACAGAATTGAAGAAGTAGGAAAGATAACAGAATCACTTACTAAAGTTATGCAGGACCCAAAAGAAACCTTTACTGATTTCTTACAAAGATTGACTTCAGCAAGAAATTCAGAAGCTAGACAAATAATAATTGAATTTCTGGCTTTTGAAAATGCTAATGCACAATGCAAAAGGGTAATTAGGCTATTAAAGGCAAAATCATCACCCTTAGCAGAATTGATCCAAGATACAGTCAATATTAAATCTCATAACCATGAAGATGTTTGAATAGGAGAGATTATTTTTAGAGGTTTGAAGAAAAATCAAGATGTCAGGTGTTTCAATTGCATTAAATGAGGTCATTTAAAAAGAGACTGTAAAGCTAGGTGGTGAGGTGCACGCCTTTAATCCCAGCACTTGGGAGGCAGAGCCAGGTGCTGTGGGATGTTCTGTATGGCAAATGTGTTGCTGATTAGTCAATAAATAAAACACTGATTGGCCATTGGCTAGGCAGGAAGTATTGGCGGGACAAGGAGGAGAATAAAGCTGGGAAGTGGAAGGCTGAGTCAGAGAGACACTGCCAGCTGCCACGATGAGAAACAGCATGTGAAGATGCCAGTAAGCCACAAGCCATGTGGCAAGGTATAGATTAATGGAAATGGATTAATTAAAGCTGTAAGAAAAGTTAGCAAGAAGCCTGCCATGGCCATACAGTTTGTAACCAATATAAGTCTCTGTGTTTACTTGGTTAGGTCTGAGTGGCTGTGGGACTGGCAGGTGAGAGAGATTTGTCCTGACTGTGGGCCAGGCAGGAAAACTCTAGTTACAGCCAGGCAGATCTTTGTGAGTTTGAGGCCAGCCTGGTCTACAGAGCAAGATCCAGGGAAGGTGCAAAGCTACACAGAGAAACTCTGTCTTGAAAAACTGCCACACCAACTCCAGTGTTGTCCATGTGACATGAACAATTATGTCAATAATAGCAGATGGGATATATGTGTTCCATGGGACTAAGCTCCCTGGAGGTCCCTGGCAGAGTGCCTGCATTATGCTTCCCTCTCGAAGAAGATGTGCTTCACGGATCATGAGCTCCCTGGGCTATAGGTTCTGTATGACTGCTTTTCTGATAATGTTCTAATTAATCTATGAAGCACAGCCAAAATAAATGAATGCTTAGGTTGTGAACTATGGAGGAGAGGGGAAGCTGGACATGGATCTTAATTAAACATAGCAGAATGGGCTATTTTTTTTAAAGACCCCAAGCCACTAGATAAAGAAAGTATAATAGTTTAGGCACTTCTAGGGAATGAACAGTCACCCACTAGGAATCCTTTAGGAATCCCAACTAAAGTGAGTTATGGTAGAAAACGTTATCTCATAGGAAGCAGATGGTGGGCCCCTTTGTTGAGGAAGTTCAGCATGGCAAACTTAAGGACTACAGCAGAACCCCTTCCCCTTACAGGTGAAAAAGTACAAGAGTCCATATTCCAGCATGTAAAAAGGTTTTATATTAAAAGAGATATGTGGTGGTGAACTAAAGAAAGACTTAGAGAGGGTCTGCAGCATCCAAATTGGCTAAGTGGGTCATGAGAACCAGAAAAGCAGAAGTGAACAATAAACTAGAAAACTACTAAGATAAGATAAAGGACACAGCTGCAACCTCAAAAAGTCTACACAAGTTTAGGGACTGTACTAAGTTTAAAAAACACAGACTGCTCTTTGGGTCATAAAGTTCTTGTGGGTGTAATGATATGTCTAGCATCGATTAATAATTGTGTGCTTGCTGTTTTTTAAAAGATGATGTACTTGAATTATTGCCAAGCTCTTGTTGTTCCTTGTATGACTTGATAGTTTTCTTTCTGTATATAAACTACTGATTCGCAGAAGTAAAATTGCAGCAGATTCAAACCACTTCTGAGTGTGTTGTCTGTCATTCGCCAAATCCTTGCCTTCCTGACTACCCAAGCCCTGGTTCTCCTACGGTCGTGATACCCCCAGTGGGCCAGTCCATGGCAAAAAACCAAAAAAAAAAAAAAGATTGTAAATAGGACATTCCTAGAAACAATGTTTTTTTCTAAGAATAATCCTAACACAATGCCCCCATCCTCTGGAGTATTCAGAAGGTGTGGCAAAGGCAGACATTGGACTAATGAATGTAGTTCAACAAGAGACAGTCAAGGTAATCGTTTGCTATCAAGAAATACCTTGAGGGGCATCTTGCAGGCCCTCATGTCAAATTTGGTTCAGTACTTTTCTGTCATTGTGGAGAAAACTCCTTCCCAGAGCAATTAAAGAACCTAATGCCTATTGTAAAAAACCATACCACTCTGGATGATAGAACAGCTACAGAAGAGAGAACAAAAAGTTCAGGAGAAACTGTAAAGCAAATATTTTGGCAAACTTTATAAACAAATAAAGACAAAAATTTAAAATATGAATAAATTTTATTGTTGTTGACGGTCTTGTAGACACAGGTGTGGATGTAACAATAATTGCAGTAGAATCTTGGCATCCAAACTGGCCTCTTCAGGAGGTAAATGTTCTGCTTTCAATTATTGGAATGTTATCTCAGGTAAAACAGAGTGTGAGATGGGTCAAATGTATAGGGACAGAAGGACAGAGAGGAAAATGAAAGCCATATGTGGCTAACATAGCAATGAATTTATGAGGATGTGATTTGTCACACTGATGGACCACTCAAATTAACATTTCTCCAATTTCAGAAACAACACATAAATTAACATGTTTCTGGAAAAAATATTAGAAAGTATTATAAAGAATAGTCACTGACCATTCAGATTGTACAAGAGCACAGTACAACAGCTGCTGTTCTTTCAAAGGCACCAATAGCCCTACCTTTAAAATGGCTGACACACAAACCTGTATGGGTTAGCAATGACCTTTAACATCAGAGAAACTGAAGGCCTTAGAACACCTGGTACAGAAGCAGTTAAATGCTCAGCATATTCAAGGACCAACCAACCCTTGGAATTCTGTTGTATTAATTATTAAAAAGAAATCTAGAAAATGGAGAATGGTAACAGATCTAAGAGCTGTTAATAAGGTGATTCAGCCAATGGGCTTTCCACAGTCTGGAATTCCTTTGTCTTCTCTATTTCCTGAAAGATGGCCTCTTATATTTATTGATTTAAAAGATTGTTTCTTTTCATTTTGTAGGACAAAAGAAATTGTCCTCCAGTTGTTTCCATTGCTGCCTTGTCACAAGTCTTATTTTGCTATTTCTAGTAACCACTTATTAGGACCCAATTGCTCTCTTAATTTATCCAGGTATTTATAGAATACTTAATGTGTTCTTCGCCACAAGGCTATGAAGAACACACACACACACACACACACACACACACACACACACACACACACACACACACACACAGAGACACACACATAAAAGGCCCCTGCTTTCCAGAAAATGCCATAAAGCTGTAGAAAAGAATGGGAAAAGTGCACCATAGGGTAGTGTATTAAAAGATCTGATTGTTTAGAGTGTTGCAATTGGAGAAAAACTTCTCAATAAAGTTGATTTTATGAATCACAGCTTTGAGAGAGTACAGAGTCTGAAGATGTAAAGTGATTTTTTAACAGTGCTTCCCACTCTGTCCAGTGTGTAGACAGGTCAGTGTGGCCACTAAAGACAATCCTGTTACAATTTTCTGTTCTGTAATTTAAATTTATCCATGTATATTTCATTTATCCAGGGATTGTGTCTATTTTTATACTGCTAATTTAAGAATATCTTTTTGATAATCAAAATGCAGTCCGTTTGGCAATCAAAGTTTCAATAATGATATATCTTTGTTGACATAAACCATGGGAAGTTTGCTTGCATGATTTCATTATCTGATTATAGCTGTGACGAAAGTAATCTCTTAGAATGAGCACATTTTTTTTCTAACACTTTATTTTTTAGAGCCCTTTTAGGTTCACAGTGAACCTGAGAAGAAAGTACAGATGTTTCCTATATATCTTCTGCCACTAGACACGTATAGACTCACCCATATCAATAACCTACCTGAATGGCATGATTGTTATAATTGATGAACCAAATTGACACATTATTATCATCAGACTCCATAGTTTACAAGAGTGTTCACTGTTGGTGGCATTCACTCTTCATTTGCCTAAGTGTGTAATGAAATGTATTCATCATTATAGCAGCATACAGAGTAGTTTCACTACCTTGAAATCTCCTTATGAAATAAAAATAATTTAAAAAAAGATTGTTTCTTCATTATACTTTTACAAGAAAAACACAGAGGAAAAATTTGCTTTCACGGTGCCTATTTACAACAATTCTCAGCCTGTTAAGTGATATCAATGGAAGGTTTTCCCACAGGAAATGTTAAATAGCCCCACCTTGTGCCAGTACTTTGTATGACAGCCATTGGAAATGATACATAAGCAATTCCCTCAATCTATAGTTTACCTAATTATGTGGATGACACTTTACTAGCTACTTCAAATGTAGATACCTTAGAAATAATGCTTGAAGAAGTAAAGCAAAATTTGCCTTGTTGGAGATTAAAAATTGCTCCTGAAAAAATACAAAGAGGAGATTCTATTAATTACTTGGGATATAAAATATGTCTACAAAAATTAGACCCCAAAAGGTGCAAATTAGGAGAGATCAATTGTGGACTCTTAATGACTTTCAAAGATTGCTGGGAGACATTGCCCATCTATGGCCCACTACTGGAGTAAAAAAATCAAGAACTGATTAATTTGTTTCAAACCTTCAAAGGTTACAAGGACTTAACTAGTCTAAGAGAATTATTAGCTGATGCTGAGAGAGAATTGGCTTTGGTGGAAAAGAAATTATAGAATGCACATGTGGATCATTTGGATTCAGAGCTTGATTGCATTCTGGTTATTTTACCCTCAATGCATTCTCCTACATGAATATTAATGCAGAGGGAATATATTATCTTAGAATGGATATTATTTTTGCCACATAAATAGAGTAAAAAATTAAAAATTTTTGTGGAAAGATCTGAGTTGATTCTAAAAGGAAAATTGAGACTTCATCAATTAGCAGGAATAGACCCAGCAGACATTGTAGTACCTTTTACTAATGATGGAATTGAGAAATTATGAGCAGAAAGTGAACACTGGCAAAGAGCTTGCAGTAATTTTTTTGGGGGGGTGAGATTAACAACAAATATCCCAAAAGCAAGAGAATTGAATTTATAAAGAAAACTGACTGGATCCTTCCTCATATTTTATGGGGAACAGCAATATTTGGAGCATCTATATTTTATACTGATGCAAACAAATCAGGAAAGACAGGTTATAAATCAGGAACTTTAAGTAAAGTGGCTCAAATTCCTTATGATACTGTCCAAAAGTCAGAATTATATGGTATTCTGATGGTACTAATATATTTTATAGAAAGTCTTAATATAGTTACTGACTCTCAGTATGCAGAGTTGTTTTACACATTGAAACTGCTGAATTTATTCCTGATGAGTCAGAATTAACTTTGTGATTTATTCACATGAATACAAGAAATATTCAGAAATAGAAATCATCACTTATATATAAGACACATCTGGTCCCTTATGGGCCTACCAGGCCCTCTAGCACAAGGTAATAATGAAATTGATAACTATTGATAGGAAATGTGCTGGATGTCTTAGTTTCATTAAAAAAAATCATGTCAATAGCAAGGGTTTGAAAAATTATTTTTCTATTACTTGGCAAGAAGCCAAGGAAATTATAAGGAAGTGTCCTACTTATAAGGAAATGTCCTACTTGTTCTTTATGCAACCAAGACTCCACTACCTGCAGGAAGTAACCCAATGGGTACTCAAAGAAATGAAATCTGGCAGATGGATGTGTTTAATTTTGCAGAATTTGGAATATGAAAATATGTACACCATACCATAGATACATATTCAGAATTTCAATGGACAACTGCTTTGAGTTCTGAAAAGGCTTATTCTGTAATCACATGTGTTAGAAGTTATGGTCATCATGGGTATACTTGTATAAATTAAGACTGACAATGCTCCAGCATATGTCTCTAGTAAAATGAAACAGTTTTTTGCTTAGTACAATATAAAGCATATTATAGGTATACCACACAATCCTACAGAGCAAGCAGTTATAGAAAGATCAAATTGAACTCTAAAGGATATGTTAAATTAACAGAAAGGGGTAATAAAGACCCTTAGAAATAGATTACATAATGCTTTATTAACTTTGAATTTTCTAAATGCTAATGAGAATGGAACAACAGCTGCAGAAAGACATTGGATAATAGAAAAAAAAACTACAGAATTAAATCAGCCTGTATACTTTAAAGATGTGCTGATCTCAGAATGGAAACCAGGACATGTGTTACATTGGGGACAAGGTTTTGCTTTTGTTTCTACAGGAGAAAATAAGCTGTGGATACCATCAAAATTGATAAAGGTTCGATTTGAACAAGAGAGACCTCTTAATTAGAAGAGATGATAGTTCATCAAACAGTGTGGCCATTCAATCTAAACTAGCCTATAAACCTAACAAATGCTTTTAATTTGATCAGATATAACTTGCCAAGAAGGAACCTCCCCAAAATTAGGGTTTGGGAAGGCTTTTGTTTTTGTCTTCCAGGAGGATGAAGGTACCAGCTAAGGAATCTGAAGACCACTGGACAAATGAGACATCTGAAGAAAAGAATGAATCACGCAGAGAAAATGTCCCAGGAAAAAGAGTAAATTGTCCTATTAGTATATCACATCTCCAACCAGATAAAATTTCATAAATCTTCTCAAATGTTTGTTTCTGCTTATCTTTATAGACATAAAATACAAATGGTCTTTTTATAGTCCCAGTTCAATTAAAATTTAAAGCTGGCTTTGGAGTAGGAGTGTGGCTTTCTCCTTCTCTAAACCCAAGCATGCTTGTTA